GTTTGGCAACAAGACATATTAGTTAATAAAGCCACCATTTTCCTGCCCGCCACCCTTCAGCTTAGCTTCTCTCCCCATAGCAGCCCCCACCGCCCACCGCCACACCTGAAGACTCTCCAGGGCCTTCGGCTATATGCAGGGGGCCGCCTTGGGGCCGAACGTTTGGGCCTTGTTCTGGAAATCATGACCATCACACTGGCCAACGAGCAGGGGGTTCTCTGTCCACCTCATCCTCAGTTTTGCTCGCTTTCTGCTCTCCCTTCAGGGTGGTCAGCAAAGGAAGGGTCGATAGCAATAGAGGATCGCTGGATAAGGGTCAGGGGTCCATGGCGGATTTCTAGATCTGACCAACTGGGTGACCGTGAGCAAGTTTGCCTTGCCTGATTCCGCCCCGTTTGGAAAGCAGGCCTAATGAGGCCGGTCACGGTGCTTCGATGAGGACCGAAAGCCCCGGCCGATGTGCGGAAGCATCTGGATAGCGCCTCTGCTCCACAGAAGGGGCTCAGGACCTGTGGGTTTTCCTTCCTGCCGAGATCAAGAGCTAGGGGCATCCCCGGATCTCGGCTTCTGCATCCTGAGCTCTCAGGGAGTTCTGGGCCCTTGAGGGTGACGGATCGGCTGTGGGCCTCAGGGGAGACTCAGGGTTTTGGGTTATCATCTTGTCTCTCTCCTGGGATGGCACCCCAGCCCCAGATACCCACGCTAACGTGGGCACTGCATGCCTCCAAACAGGGACAGACCCAGGCAGAGATGTGCTGTGAACTGGCTCCCAGGAGGGAAAAAGGCCCTGATGCATAGCGTTTGCTAGTTTCCATGGTGTAAATCCTCCCACCATGAATGATTTCAAGCTACCGATGGTCCAACAACCCGCCACGAAATTCCTAAATATTTAACAGGTGGCTCTCTGCCCAGCCGGTAACCTCACACATTGGCAGGGCCAGGATCCCTGGTCTGGGGTCTCTCCTGTTGGCCAGGCTGGAGCCCCCGGGTGAGTAGCTATCTCAAGAACTCCTTTTCTCTCGTCTATTCTATCTAGAGTGGGTTCTGCCCAGATCGGGGGTTCTTCCCAGGGCTCCTCTTGGGTTTGAAGCTAGAGGACTCCATAGAGGGCAAGGTGTGGGGCTTACGGCATGCCTGTGGGGAAGGGCTTACCTTGTGCCAGTCCTTGTCCCGGCCAAGGGTCCCCGTGTGAATTTCAGGGGCGGAGAGGATGCGAGGATGCGGGACAAGTTCGTTGAATTCCCTCGCCTGCCTGCCAAACACCAGCTCCCGCCACCGCCCAGCGGTTTGTACCATAGCCACCCGGCTTCGCACTCCTCATATTCACGCCATGCCACCGTCTCAGCATTGGGAAACCCGTCCCCTGCTTCCCTGCAGGCTGTGCACGATCTGGCCCCGCTGTTCAATGCCGGGCAAACAGGCAAATTAATGACTCCATGCACACTGGCTCTGGGGAGGCCCTGGCATAGCCAGCTCTGGGCCTCGCTGTCTTTCAGACTCGACACATTGCCAACAGGATCCTTCCCCCCCTTCCTGGCCTTCCTCCCCATTCATTCACGCATTCATTCAACCAGTATTGATCATCAGCTGCCCATCACACATACAGGGCTAGCTCGTCAGAGGATTTGAGGACCACTCTGAGGCCCTCTGTTTGGAGGGCTTGGTGGAGGGTGGTAGGAAATCCGAGAGAAGACACCGGGCTGGAGGGGGTGGATGAGTTTCGTTTCAGACGCACCGAATTTCGGTACCTACAGGCCCTGTGAGAGGAGTGGTTCAGAGGCAGACAGACACGTGGTGTGGCGCTCAGGATAGAGGAGGTGACTTTATTAATCCTTCTTGCAAGAAGAGTTCCCGGCCAGAAAGCCCCGAGTATTCTTCCATTGTTCCTCACGCTCAGCTAATTGGTCACGGCGTGCCCACGCTCCCGAGCCTTTACGCGGCTGTTTCCTCCACCTGAATATTCTCCTTACAGAAATGCTATCCTTTCTCCAGGTACCCGGGTCAAATGTTCTTCCTTGAACTCTTCTGGAACCCTCGTGACGGGAACTGGTCGGTCATTTCTCCTGCCAGCCTCACCTTTTTTTTTTTTTTTTTTTTTAAGATTAAAAAAAATGCTTATTTATTTTAGAGAGACAGAGTGCGAGCGAGGGAGAGGCAGAGGGAGAGGGAGACACAGAATCCGAAGCAGGTTCCGGGCTCCGAGCTGTCAGCACAGAGCCTGATGGGGGGCTTGAACTCATGAGCCACGAGATCATGGCCTGAGCCGGGGTCGGACGCTCAACCCGCTGAGCCACCCGGGTGGTCCCCACCCTCACTTTGTTTATGCTGCCTGGCCTTTTCCCAGGTGCCTGTGCCTGGCCCCTGCTCCTTGACTGTGCTGTGGGCTCCTGAGGGCAAGGACAGCCCCCTCTTCTCCGTGTCCCTCCTGGAACTCACCAGTTCTGACATGCATGAATGAATGCTGACAATACATCAGTTGAACCTCGTCGTCTTTTGGGTAGATCCCTCCCTTGTATCAGCTTCCTCTGTGGATGGAGCCCTGCTCTGCGTGTGTGCAGCTGAGCACATGCCTGGCCTGGGGCTGGGCCATTCCCTGCAGGCACAGCATAAAACAGTCCGCCCTGTGGCCTAATGGATCCCAGTCCTGCCTCGAGGGCATCCCTGAAACTCAGCCTGCTGGTCGTGGCCGCAGGTTCTCTGTGTCCCTGCCAATGCTGTAGCAGACATAAGAGGGTCTAGGGGCCCCTCATCTCACAATCCACCTTTTTTTAGAATTTGCACTCAGGGACAGACACGTGGGATGTGACATTTCTTCATTCTTCTATGATCACGGAAAGGCAGAGCCGAGTTGTTGACTGAGGCCCAAAGATGCTTCGGCGCTCTCGAGAATTAGTCAATTGCGTGTTTCTTCACCAATTTTGAAACGGCTTATTGCAATTATTGATGAAAGCAACTTTCAAGGTTGTGACACTATGTTTCCAAACCGTAGGAGACCCTGGATCTGTCACCCCCAAACCGAGGTGTTGCTTCTAGGGCTGAACCCCAGTCCCCACTCTCGTGTCCGGGCAGCAGGGTGCCCGATCAGACCTTACTCTGTGCCTGGCCAGGCTCCACACCTGGGGCAGAGGGGGCCTGCGGATTCCTTGAGCGTCTCACGGATTTGGGCCAGGTCTGCTTCTTCGTGGCCGAGAGCCTGCTGTACCCCCACCTTACACAGGGCTGCCTCCCTAGCTACTGCCCGGCGGTTCCAGGAAATCCTTGGTGCACCACGTAAGCAAACAGCCCAAAGCAGCTTCCCCAGATGAGCAGATTCCAGACTAATGTATTGGCAAGACGGACCTGGCCAGAGCCAATGTCCAGGTGCCTCTGATCTCCCTCCCTCCTGCTGCCTTACTTCTTCACTTCATATCTCTGGGCGCCGAGTTCACATGGATACGTACAGGATGGCCCGAACTTTCTGAGGCTGCAGGCGTGTCCCACGGCATGCATGGCGCCACACTCGGTGACCCCCCCCCCCCCCCCCCAGGCACGGACGTTTAATTTGCTTCCATTTGGTTAATGACACACAGTGCTGCCCCGGAGACCCTTGTATGTGAGCCGCTGTGCATCATGGGGGTGTATTTTTACAAGATACATTCTCAGCAGAATCCTAGCTTTAGACTTTAAAAACATCTTCCTGAAATACGGTCCGCTGATGTATGAGGACAAAAAGGGCGATTTATCAAAATGAGGTTCCCACAATAGCCAACTGTGGAAAGGGCCCAAATGTCCATCGACGGATGAATGGATAAAGATGCGGTATCCATATATGACAGAATACTACTCAGCGATCCAAAAGAATGAAATCCCGCCATTTGCAACAACGTGGATGGAACTAGAGTGTATTATGCTAAGGGAAATAAGTCAGTCAGAGAGAGACAAATACATGATTTCACTCATCCGTCGAATTTAAGCAACAAAGCAGGTGACCATAGGAGAAGGGAAGGATAATAAGATGAAAACAGAGAGGGAGGCAAACCATAAGAGACTCTTAAATGCAGAGAACAAACTCAGGGTTGCTGGAGAAGGGGTGGGTGGGGAATAAATGGGTGATGGGTATTAAGAAGGGTACTTGTGATGGGCACTGGGTGTTGTATGTAAGTGATGAATCACTAAATTCTACTCCTGAAACCATTACTGCCCTATATGTTAACTAACTTGGATTTAAGCGAAAAAAATAAAAATAACAATAAAATAAAAAATGAGGTGCCCATCTCCTACCTCATGCTGCCACAAAACAAAACAAAAATAAAACAAGAGTTAGGACAGCCTTCTCACTGGCAAATGAGGGGCCAAGGGGGCAGCCGGTGGGCAGTGGGTGGCGGTCACTTCCTCTGAGACCGTTGGCTCTGGTTTCTGGGAGCTGTACTGTGTTCTCCGTGGGGCCAGGAGAGACCCGGTGGGCAGCTGGGGTCAGACTCTGGGCAGCGTCTGTCACCTCCGCTAGCTGTCCCAGGCCGCTGACCCCAAGCAGCTGGGTCCTCTGCAGAGTTGTGGGCTGGCTGCTGGCCGGGGTGCCGGGAAGGGGGGGTCCCCCTGCCTTGACCCGCTCCCCCGCGCTTTAGACCCATCTGCTAAAGGTTAGGCAAGTCCCACAGTTCTGTTCACAGATGACCACAGATATTTCCCTTAGGATCCCGGCTCTGTGTCCAACCGTCTAGGAGGCGCTGAGACCAGACTCAGGGGCCGCGACTCCCCAGGGGCTTGCAGACTGACAGAGGGGAAAGACCACCCCAGTAGGCGGATGGGACCGGCGGCGCAGGGGCTGTAGGCTGGGTTTTCTGAGCGGCTTGGCACTCACTGGTCCTTCTCCCCACCCGCCACTGTTCCCCCTCACCGCCCCCCCCTCACTTGGCCTTGAGGAACTAGCTGGGGGTTGAGCGGGGGAGGGCAGGGGGTGCCTATTGGGCCACAGGGCGGGCCACACCCCGTGAGGTCACCCAGCCCTGGATAAAGGGGTGCAGAGACTGCTCAGGTGGCAGAGCCTTCGTTCGCTGGTCGCCTCCCGAACCCAGAATGAAGCTAGTCTTTCCTGCGCTGCTGTTCCTTGGGGCCCTTGGTGAGTGCAGGGACTTGGGGGTGCGCCCGCCGGGTGGGCGCCGCGGTCGCCATAACCCGCGAGATGGGCGCGCGTGTCCCCGCGCCCTGCGGGGTGGGCGCCCGTGTGTCCGCGTCGCACGAGATGGGCTCCTGTGTCCCTGCGCCCCGCGGGATCGGTGCCCCTCTGTCCCTGCGCCCCGCCGGGTGGGCGCCCAGAGCCTGCAGAGTGGGAGGCTGCGGGGGTGCGGGGGTGAGGGGCGGGGGTCTTGGGGCCGGGCCCCGCCCACCTGCCTGGGGAGGAGCCAGAGCCGAGCTCCTCCAGGCGGATCCGGGAGTTCCCAGAGGTGCGCAAAGCGTGCGTCCCAAAGAGCCTTCTGGGACCCTGTCCCATTGCGTCCCAGCAGGACCTCTGGTAGCCATAGGACTGTTGCAGGCTTTTTGCATGGGAGGAAAATGAGACCCAGAGAGCATGAGCGACTTGCCCAAGACACACAGGAGACGGGAGTCAGAAGCCAGCGCCGGCAGGGCTGTGCGACAGGGGCAAGACAGAGCCCCAGTTTCTTCAGTTAAAAAACGAGTCCGGCCACCTGCCCACACAGTTGTGAGGTGCAGGCCGGCTGCCCGCTGCTCAACGGTGGGCCAAGGTGCACAGGCTTCCCACCCCGGAAGGGCAGCGCTGGTGGCACAGACAGCCCCCCCCCCCCCCCGTCACCGGACCCCACTGTCAGAGGGTCTAAGGGAAAAATGATTGATTTCTGTTCTCTTTTGAAAGCTTATTTATTTATTTTCAAAGAGAAAGAGTGCGCGCACGAGTGGGGGAGGGGCAGAGAAGAGAGAGAGGCAGAGAGAGAGAGGGAGAGGGAATCCCAAGGAGGCTCCGTCCGCACTGCCAGCAGGGGTCCCGACGGAGGGCTCGAACTCACAAAACGTGAGATCATCACCTGAGCCGAAATCAGGAGTCTGATGCTTAACTGACTGAGCCACCCAGGGGCACCCCCCTCGCCCTGATTTCTGGGTTTCAATGCGCCCAGACTAGAATTATTCGAAACAATTTCTGGGGGTGTACAGAGGACACTCACCAGTCGTAGACATTAGTGATGTAGATGTGTGAGGGCGGGGCTGTGAGGGGCATGAGTGCCTGGGCAGTAAGTGGGGGGTCGGGGGCGAAGGACAGGCGTCTCCCAATTCCCAGGCCCCTGCCAGCCCAGGTCAGCCTCCTTTGAGCTGGGTGCTCCCTGGGTGGAAAAGACTAATAGAGCGCACAGTGACCTTATGCCCCCAAACCTAGGGACTGTGAAGCCATCTCTGTCCCCACCTCTGGTCCCCTTCTCCAAGTTCCTTCCTATGGTATTGTCATCCCTGTCTTCTCTGAGGCAGGATCGGGTCTGCCAAGGCCAACTTCCCTTCTGCTCCCTGACCTGGGGCTTGCTGGGTAGCACAGCACAGGGTTGGGGCTGCTTGGGAGAGATCGAGAAGCAGGAAACCTTGCTTTCCTGGATGTGGTCACAGGTCGCAGCCACAGATCCTGGCTCAGAGTTGCACCCTTGGGTTCCACTTTCACTTGAATCTTTGGTTGCCTCGCCCCCTCCCTTCACCCCCTCCCCCCTGCTGAATCTGCAGTTTAAGTCCTACAGTCATTAGAATGGTGGCTAGCATCCTAAAGTGTCACTGAAACCCTGTCACCTGTCCTGGGGGATTCCTGCCCTGCCCCCATGGCTGTGCTGGCTGGCAGAGGCTGGCTGGGCGGAGAAGGGTAGCTCCATCCCAGCCCCTGCCCTTTGAGGTCAGAACACCGCATGTCTGCATGGAAGCAATCACAGGATGCCGACTTTCAAGAAGTTTCCATCCAGGCTCATGGGGGCAGCGTCTGAGGGGCAGATAGTTCAGATGCTAGGTTGGGGATACAGGAAGGGCCAGCCCTACACCTGCTTTGGGGAACATATCATCTTGAGGGGGGGGGGGATGTGTGGCTTCAGAGCCGGCTGGTGAGAGCTCTTGGGGGGCGGGGGATGAGCTTGTGGTGCACTTGGTGTCCCTGGTGTTTGGGGGGCTGGGACTGTGGATCTTGGAAAACCCCTCGGTGGCCCTTTAGTCTCCTAGTTCAGCCAAGGGAGAAATGAGCTCTACCCGTGGGTTCCCCATTCCTGCTGCTGTTCGTGCCCTCCCCCCACCTTGAAGCATGCCCTTCTGTTTGGCTCTCCCTCTTCACCCCCAGATCCCATCCGTCACCGAGCTAATTTCTGACGCCAGCTCCCTATTCCTGCCCCTTCTCCATTCCCAGGGCTTTTCTGCTTGGTTCCCGGCTTTCAGTCCACTCCCTCCCCCATTCTAGGCAGAGCCCTTATCTCTACTCTCTTCATGAGCGAGCTCTACTCCCTCTGGAACCAGACATCCTCTGACCAGCTTGGAGGGCTTTCCACGCTCCGGCCCCAAATCCTTTACTAGCCCCATCTCCACTGCAGCCCGTTTCTAACCTAGCCAGCCTAAATAGACTGGCTAGCCTTGTGGTAAGAACAGGGCGGGGGTCTGTCTGACTGTGTAGATTCAAATCCTAGACCCAATGCTTATTAGCTGTGGGACCTCGGGCAAGCCACGTAACTAGCTAAAGACACGATTTTCTCACCTGGAAATGATATTAGCAGAACTCAGAGAGTTGGGAGATTCGATGTCCAGAGAAGATGTGAAATGCTTGCAGCATTAGCTGTGTGCACATGGGTCCATGGTTCTCGCCTCCAGGAACGCCACCACCGTCATTCCTGGTCCCCAGGAGCTCACTTCTGGTCTGGCATTTGTCTCTTCTAGAGCGTTCATCATCCTTAGCTTCCTCTTTTTTGACTTTTTTTTCTCTCCAGATGGGAGGGGAGATCTTGTCCCGTCTGCTTACATGAGACACGGTGCTGTGTATACAGACTTCTAGTAAATGCTACTGGGTCACGAGTGGCCGGATAGGACCAGGTTAATATTTGTATGGCAGGACAGTTCCCTGAGGGCCTCGGGATCGATTACATCCTTCGGGATTTCCTGGGACGACGGTCAGTGGGGAAGGAGTGTGGCAGCATATGCCCCTGAGCCTCCGCTGACTCAGCCTGGGAGCCACTGCCCTCCTCCCCTCACCCTCCCAGGGAGCCTCAAATACCTTGGCGGGTCTGACTGCGCAGGGGATGGTTCATGAACAGGAGGTAGCAGAGGGCTGAATGTTCCACTCTAAAGCGTATCCAAGTGGGAAAGGGGCTTTTGCAATCACGTGTGTGCATGTGTGTGTGTGTGAGAGAGAGAGAGAGGGAGAGAGAGATAGCTTTATCGAGCTATATTTTGCATGTCATGAGATTCACCTACTTCGAGTGTACAATTCAATGATTTTTAGGAATTTTACCAAGAGGCACAACCATCACTGTAAAATCTTTTTAGTACATTTCCGCCCCGCTGATAAGATTCTTCATGTCCATTTAGAGTTACTCTCCGTTCCCGCCCCAGCATCCGGCCAACCGCTAGTTACGTTCTGTTTCATCAGTCTGCCTTTTAGGACCTTTCACATACAAGCGGAGTCATACAGCAGGTGGTGTCGTGTGTCTGGTTTCTTCCATTTAGCGCGAATGAGGCTCATTCATGTTGTAGTGCATACTGCTGGTTCTTTCCTTTTTACTGCCAAATCATACTCTGTTGTGTGCATGCACCGCATTTTGTCTAGCCATTCACCCGTGGCTGGACTTTCAGGCTGTTTCCCCTTTTTGGCTTTTCTGAATAATGCTGCTGTGAATATTCATACACGAGTCTTTATGCAGACATATGCTTTTATTTCTTTTGGGTACATATCTAGAAGTGGAATTCCTGGGTCAAAATGTTTAACATTTTGAGAAGCTGCCAATTTGTTTCCCAAAGTGGCTTCAACTGACTGAGCCCTGCCCCAGGCACCTCTGTGTTTGTATTTTCTTAACTGACTTTTGAAACACAGAAGTTTTGGCTTTTGAGAGGTCACTTTATCAAGTTTTTTCATTTATGGACTGTGCTGTTGGTGTCATGGCTGATTAAACTTTGCCCATCCCAAGCTTGCAAAGTTTTTCCCTGTGTTTCCTTCTAAAAGTTTAATTGTTTTATCTCTTATACTAAATTCTATGATCCACTTTGAGTTAATTTCTGTGTATGGTGTGAGGTAGGGCTCTAAGTTAATCGTTTTTGTATGTGGATATATGTTATGCTAGGACCCTTTGTTAACAGACTGCCCTTCTGCCAATGAATTGCCTTAGTGCCTTTGTCTAAAATCAATTGAATGTACATATAAGCATTCTATTTCATTGATCCATATGTCTGTCTTTAGGCTAATATCACGCCCTTTTGATAACTTTGGCTTTATAGTATGTTTTGAAATTAGGAAGTAAAATTTCTCGAGGTTTGTTCTTTTTCAAAATTGTTTGACTATTATATACAAATTATACAAAAATAAATTGTAAATGTAAATTATACAGAATTATTTTGGCTATTTTGCATCAATTTATTTATCTTATATAAATTATAGAATCTGCTTGTCAACTTTTGCAAACCTCCCCCTCCTCCCAGCCTGCTGGAATTGTGATAGGGTTTGTGTTGATTCTCTATCTCAGTTTAAGGAGAATTACCATCCTAACAATATTGAATTCATAAAGCGTGCACATAAATGTTTCTCCATTTATTTAGATCTTTAATTTCTCTCAGCAAAGTTTTAATTTTCAGCGTAAGTTTTGTATTTTTTGGTTAAATATTTCCCTAAGTATTTAACTCTTTTTGATGTTATTATGAATAGAATTATTTTCTTAATTTTATTTTTGGAGCATCCAAGGCTTATCTGCAAAAATATAATTGCTCTTTGTATATTGACCTTGAATCCCGTGACCTTGTTATATTTGTGTATTCGTTCTAATAGCATTCTGTGCACTCCTTAGGATTTTCTAGAGGATCGCGTCATCTGCAAATAAAGACAGTTTTACTCCTTCCTTTCTGGTCTGGATGACTTCTATTGCTTTTTCTTATTATTGTGGCTAGAATCTCCAGTATTTTGTTGAACAGGAAACCTGACAGTGGAGACTTGATCTTCCGGGGGCAAGCCTTCAGTCTTTCACCGTTTTAACTTAATGGTGAAAAACTGTAAGTTTTTCATAGATGCCATTTATCAGGCAACCATGTGTTGGTTAAGAGCTGTGAGCAAATCTGGTCCAGGCTCCTTCCTAATTGCATCGATCCTATCAGCAAGGTAGGAGAGCCAGTCTTTCTGATACAGAGGCGAATGGTGGTAACTCGGGCACATTGACCCATTTGGTACACCACTCGGTATAGCTACTGACAAGGAGTCCGGTGCGGTTAAGTTGCCTCGGCATCAGTGGGGGGCGGTTCTTGCAGTTGCAACCGTCTAGGGACACCTGGATTCTTGGCTAGATTTTGCCACTGTTGAGCCGTCAGTCCCTCAGCCTCCTCAAAAGCCAGATTCCACATTAACAGAACAGGAGCAAGAATCCCTTTCCTGCCTACCTCCCAGCTTCAAGCGGGACAAAGCTCCACCAACTGAGGCAAAGGAGCATCACCAGTTCTTAGAGGTAGGAAATGTGTCAGTTACAGGAAGGAAGATAACCCAGAGTCTCTGACTGTCTCCTTGAATTTGCGGAGAATCAGAGCCCTCTGGCCGCAGAGAACGCTTGTTAGACAGTCAAGACACTTCCACTTGAGGAGATCGGCCTGACTTAGTGGCCAAATGGGGCAGAAGGAGGAGGAGCAGAGAGATGAAGGAGTCTGGATAAGTCTGGCAGGGGGTGAGGTGGCCTCTCCCATGGGCAGTGGTTGAACCCTTACTCTTTCTCCCAGGACTGTGTCTGGGCACCCCTGGGAGAAGCGTTCGGTGGTGCACCATATCACAAGCAGAGGAAGCAAAATGCACCAAATTCCAACAGAATATGAGAGAAGTGGGTGGCCCCAATGTCTTCTGCACAAGGAAAAACTCTCGCCAAGAATGTATCCAGGCCATCAAGGTAAGTCAGTACCATGTGTTGGTTGGAACCAAATTGAATGGAAGGGAAGGGAAGGGAATAAAGTAAAAAATGTATTTCCCCCTTCTTCTGCTTTTCTTCGCGGGCACCGATGGGTTGGGAGTGCTCCTTCCTCATAGGACACAAGACTATTTGGAAAGCAGATACTAACATTCTAAAGCGGAGACGCCACGTGTGGGGAAACTGTGGTTGCAACACAATTTTTTTTTCTTTTTTTTCTTGTTTATTTACTTATTTTGAGAGACAGAGGCAGGGAGGAGCACGAGCAGGGAAGGGGCAGACGGGGAGAGAGAGAGAGAGAGAGAGGAGAGAGGGAGAGAGAGAATCCCAAGCAGGCTCCACGCTGCCAGCTGCAGAGCCCAACATGGGACTCAAACACCTGAACTGTGAAATCATGACCTGAGCCGAAACGGAGTTGAACGCTTAACGGACTCAGCCACCCAGGCGCCCCGGAACTTGCATTTCCTAAAGTAATGGCAATAAAACGAATCCTCCCTTGCTGGTGATTTTATAAATAAAACGAAAGCCTACCTTGTTGGTGATTTTATAGTGAAACTGATTTTCTTGGTTGGTGGCCTTCCAAATTGGCATTACAAATCTGGAAAGTGGAATAACAAGAACAGCCAGAGCCACGAAGATAAACAAGGTCACTGTCTGAGCGAGTCCACGCTTAGTTGCCTATCCCAAGGTGACAGGCCATCGGAAGGAAAAAATTCTACGAGGACAAAGCTACCCATGAGAGCATAGATTTCATAGCAAAAAGAAAGTGCTGAACATCTGAGGGGTTATTTGACAAACTATGGAACAACCACATTATGATGAAATATTATGGAGTCAATAAAGGCCCTGCAGAAGTATGAAAATGCATGCCATTTTATTTTTAAAATTTTTTTTTCAACGTTTTATTTATTTTTGGGACAGAGAGAGACAGAGCATGAACGGGGGAGGGGCAGAGAGAGAGGGAGACACAGAATCGGAAACAGGCTCCAGGCTCCGAGCCATCAGCCCAGAGCCTGACGCGGGGCTCGAACTCCCGGACCGCGAGATCGTGACCTGGCTGAAGTCGGACGCTTAACCGACTGCGCCACCCAGGCGCCCCAATGCATGCCATTTTAGACGAAGAAAGCAGTCCACGACATATGATCTGTACCAGATTGCAAATAGAAGACATACGGAAACATATGAGAAGTAATACGCTAAAAAGGATGAACATGATTTATTATGATAATTTTAAGATAGCGGAATAGTTTTATTTTCTATTCAATAAAAAAGAACTTAAATCAATATAGGGCTTTCTAGAGAAAGCATCTAGAATAAACAACTTCATTTATTATTACTTGTATTTATTTATGTGAGAGAGAGAGAGAGAGAGCATGAGCAAGGGAGAGGGGCGGAGAGGAGAGAGAGAGAGAATCCCAAGCAGTCTCCACGTTCAGCTTGGAGCCTGATATGGGGCTCGATCCCATGACTCTGATCATGACCTGAGCCAAAATCAAGAGTTGGACACTCAACCGGCTGGGCCACCCCGGTGCCCCTAGAATAAACAACTGTAAGTATAAATGACTGTGAAGGGCAGGAACCATGAGACGATACAGGCGGGGACGCTTATAAGAAAGAGACAATATGCCAACGTCCGTAGTTAAAGCTACTGCCCTCAAAAGAGGGAACTTTGACTCGTGCCACCAAGCGAACATGAGTGAGTATGCCCCAAAGGAGACCCTTTTGAAGATCCTTCTAGATCTTTCTGACCTCCTGAAATCCAGTTGCCTGGGTTGGGGTGGGCTCTCTCCTGAAGCTGGCCTGGCCTCTTTGCTTTCAGGCGAACGAGGCAGATGCTGTGACCCTTGATGGTGGTCTGGTGTACAAGGCAGGCCTGGACCCCAATAAACTGCGACCTGTAGCGGCTGAGGTCTATGGGACCCAAGAGGGTGAGTTCTCCCTGGAGACCCAGAAGCTGGGGTGGCCCTGGCCTTGGCCCCGGGCTCTGTGCAGAGTGGATGAGACCTAGAGGTGGGCTCACGGACGGCATCCCACTTGCAGGGAACTGAGTCCCTGGGCTCTTTGGGCCCGATGCTGACCCGCTGGGGGAGGACACGTGTGTGCTCCCTGGGGAAACAGAGCAGGTCCCAGGAAAAGCTAGCATATGGCTTCCTTTTCCACCAGGGCAAGGTCACGTTGGGCTGTTTTTCTCCCTCTGGTCTGGGCTAAGAGCTTTCAATTCTCTCTGTCCCTTTGCAGAGCCACAAATCCACTATTATGCTGTGGCCATAGCAAAGAAGGGAACCAACTTCCAGCTGAACCAGCTACAAGGCAGGAAGTCCTGCCACACAGGCCTTGGCAGGTCCGCCGGCTGGAACATCCCTATGGGGTTGCTTCGTCCATTCTTAAACTGGGCAGGGCCGCCCGAGCCCCTTGAGAAGGGTAAGATGACTGGAGGACTGTGGGCAGTCTCTGGGCGGGGGGAGGGGGGTCTCCATGCTGGTTGCACACACAGGCCACTTTGTAAACGTGGGATGAACCCCAGTGGGCCCACCGCACCAGCGGCCCTTTGGGAGGCGGCAGCTGAGTCTGCTGTCGGCCAAGGTGCGGCTCTGAGCGCCCAGCCTCACCTAAGAGGCTGTCCCGCAGGGGTGGAGGAAGGGGCTCTGTCTCCACCCCCCTCCCCCCCGCCCCAGCCCTTCCCCAGTTCGTGCCCGTCCCTGGGAGGTGTGATGAGCTTCGGCCGGACTGGCTCACACCCTGTGGCCTATTTCTCTGTGTTCAACAGCTGCGGCCAACTTCTTCTCTGCCAGCTGTGTGCCCTGCGCGGATGGGAAAGAGTACCCCAACCTGTGTAGCCTGTGTGCGGGGACAGGGGAGAACAAGTGTGCCTGCTCCTCCCAGGAACCATACTTTGGCTACGCCGGTGCCTTCAAGTGAGTGAGAAGGCCCTCTTCTCCCCAGTGGCCTGAGCACCCTGTGTCCTCAGGCCGGGAGGCCTTTTCTCTGGCCCCAGTCACAGCTCAGCCTGCCGGCAGGGACCGCAGAGCAGGTGTCGTTCTCCTGAGTCCAAAGAGGGCACTGGCTTTGCCTAGTGCACGTGCCCCTCCAGCCCCCTCCCTTCCGCATCCCCCTCTACGGGCCCTTTACCTCTACCCCAGCCTCGTGAGCCGTCACCCCGACAGGGGTCATTCCTTGTCCCCATAGACGAGGCTGTGGCTTTGTTTGCACTGGGATGTCCTGTGTTTCCCTGCTGACTTCCGCCCTCTCCCTAGCCACAGAGGGACTGAAGGGGTCTTGTCTTGAGACAACCAGTCCCTCGCTCCCGGAAGGACAGCTGGAGCGTCCAGGCTGATGTGGTCTGCCCCGCGCGCGCGCGCGCGGGCTTCTCCTCCAGCCGGGAGAGAGCGAGCTCTGCCCGACTGCCCCCTGCACCCCCCTGCCTCCCCCCATGCCCCGTGCTGAGGCAGATGCTGCTTCTCTCCCCACATCTGCCTCCTGAGCTCAGGCATTTTTGCAGACGGAGGCCTCCCCGCTTGGCCGCAGCACATTTCCCCACTCGGTCCTGGGAGAAAGGACCACATACTCAGGCATATAGAGGCTTCAGATCCTTTTATATAGAAAGACCCGTTTTGCCCTTTCAGGCCCTAACGCAGGAGGTGGGGGGCGCTCTGGCCAGCCCCTAAGCCGTCCTTCCTCACAATCTACCTGGAGGTGGCCGCCTTCCCAGACAGGTGCGCTCCAAAGCCTCAGAGGAGGGGAGCCCGGGGCCCTGCTCCCCGGGGAGGCCTGAGGAAGAGGCTGGGGACAGCCGGCTCTGTGCTGACCCTTCTGCGACTTTCTCATTTCACAGGTGTCTGCATGAAGGAGGTGGAGATGTGGCTTTTGTCAGGCACACTACAGTGTTTGGTAAGAAGTGGGAGGAGACCTAGGGGGTACAGCCTCCTTTGGTTTTATTTTCCCATAATTCTGAGCATTGAGCAAATTGGACTCTTCACTTCTTGGCACGCTATTATCAAGGTTCTCTACGGGGCAGGCCTCATTTCCTGTTTCGCTTTTATTTAAAAAAATGTTTTAGGGGCGCCTGGGTGGCGCAGTCGGTTAAGTGTCCGACTTCAGCCAGGTCAGGATCTCGCGGTCCGTGAGTTCGAGCCCCGCGTCAGGCTCTGGGCTGATGGCTCAGAGCCTGGAGCCTGTTTCCGATTCTGTGTCTCCCTCTCTCTCTGCCCCTCCCCCGTTCATGCTCTGTCTCTCTCTGTCCCAAAAATAAATAAAAACGTTGAAAAAAAATTAAAAAAAAATAAATAAATGTTTTACTGTCTATTTGTTTTTGAGAGAGAGAGAGAGAGAGAGACAGAGCACGAGTGGGGGAGGGGCAGAGAGAGAGAGGGAGACACAGAATCCCAAGCAGGTTCCAGGGTCTGAGCTGTCAGCACAGAGCCTGACGAAGGGCTCGGACCCACAAACCATGAGATCATGACCTGAGCTAAAGTTGGACGCTAGACCAACTGAGCCACCCACGCGCCCTATTTTATCATTTTTTAAAAAGTTTATTTATTTATTTTGAGAGATGGAGACAGCATGGGGGGGGCAGAGAGAGGGAGAGAGAGAGAATCCCAAGCAGGCTCCCCGCTGCCAGAGCAGAGCCCGAAGTGGGGCTCGAACCTACGAAACCTAGATCATGACCTGAACCGAAACCAAGAGTCCGATGCTTAACCGACTGAGCCCCCCAGGGGCCCCTTGTTTCAGATTTTAAGCCATCAGTTTTCCCCAAATCCCCCAATACCCACTGGCTTTCTTTTCCTCAGAGACACCCCCGCCTCTGTCCCCGACACAGGTTTTTGGGTTCTGAGACCACAAAAGTTTCGGCATTAGAAACCATGCTGCTGCCAGGATTTTCCATTCAGCGTCTTGTTTTGGAGATTTATCTGTGTTGTATGTCTAGTTCAGTGTTTCTGACAGCTGAGGAACGCTCATCGGGTTCTACTTATCTGTCACCCTAGGTCACCTTGCCTTTCCCTCTACCACAAACAGCTCCATGACTCACGTTCTCCTGTGTGTCCTCTTACTGTTGTGCAGGAGAAGATTCCTGAAATACCACATGCTGATGCACCCTGCTGGGTGTGCACCGGCTGAACACATGCTTACCAGGACCACCAGAGACAGACCCACCCCACTGACCCGAGACCTCCGGAGATAGGCTTACATTGATCATCTCAATATATTTGCTAGTCATTTTCTAATCTTGACTATTTTCCTATTGAGTTTCATGCCTGTTTCTTCATGATGTTGATTCAAGGAGAGGCCTTCTTTCTTTAGTTTATTTATTTTGAAAGAGACAGAGAGAGAGCGAGCAGGGGAGGGGCAGAGAGAGAGGGAGAGAATCCCAAGCAGGCCCTGCGATGGGAGTGCAGAGCCCGACGTGGGTTGGTGGAGAGAGATCTCACCCTACCCTTGGCTGTTCGTTTTCAAATCTCGTTCAACGAAAAGTGTAGAATTCTTTTGCTGGCTTTCTAAAAACGTCATCCTTTAATTTTAATTAGAATTGTTTTGAGTTTAAAGTGGTCCGTGGGGAACTATATTTAATGTCAAGTTGTCCAATCCCTGATCACGATGAATCTTCCTCCTTTGATCACACCTCTTCTATGGTCCTTTAACGGAACTTACAAAGTTTCTCTTTGTTGGTCTTACTGTGCGAGGTTAGTGACTAGCTCTTTCATGGTTCGGGTTGCCATTACAGTCTGATATTCTATATTAGCTTCTGCTTGGTTGTTGCTAATGAGGATAATACTTGGTTTTGGAAGTTCTACCCTGCTGGATACCGTTATTGGTTTTATTCCTTCTTCCTTGGTTTTGTTGGCTTTTCTATGTAGATGACCACATCATCTTTATTTTTTAATTTTCAGTTTTTGAGGCGGGGGGGCGGGGAAGGGCACAGGGGGAGCGAGAGAGAGAATCCCAAGCAGCCTCCACACCCAGCGGGGAGCTCAGTCTCACAACCATTGAGATCATGACCTGAGCGGAGATCATGACCTGAGAGTCAGACGCTCAACAGACGGAGCCACCCAGGCACCCCCGTGGATCGCATCATCTTTAAATAGAGTTTGCCTTCTTCCTTCCGGTGGTTCCATCTCGTTTCTTTTGTCAGTTGCGTCCGGCACTGTGTTGGCAATATGACAGCTGACATTTTTGCTCTGTTCCTGATTTTGAAGCGAATGCTTGCATTTTCTCCTGCTAGTATGATTTTGCTGCAGCCATTTTGATGAAAGGCATTTCTCAGGTTCAAGAACTTTACCAAATTCTCCATATTACTAGTTTCCTGAAACAAACAAAAAACCCAACCACAACTAGATGTTGAGCACACACCTGCTTTTTCTGCATCTGTTAAGATTATCTCATGGTGCTTATTAATGACGTGGAGTACTCTGGCTTTTTAGATGATTGACCGTTCTTTGTTAATGAAATAAGCTGATAAACCTTAACCCTGATCTATTTTTAAAATACTCTGTTAGGTTGAGTTAGCTAATGTATATTTGAGATTTTTGCACGTATGCTCATAAGGAAAATAGGCCTGTAATTCTTCCCTCCTGTACTGCTCTCTCTGATTTTGAGCTCAAGGTTGCACGAATCTCCCAAAATGACTTGGGCAGGTTCCTGTCACTTTACATATTGTCACTCTACATGCTCTTATATGAGATACATTGGCAGTTCCAAATTGGGCTGAACTCACTCACAAAAACAGACTTTCCCCTTCTTTTGATAACACCTCACGTTGGGAAGTGATTCAACTGTACATCCTGCCTTAAAAATGTTTGTGACTTTTTATTCTTTCTAGAGAGGTGGGTAAGGCAGCGCCCCCTGGCTGGTGCGCTGGGATTGCCTCTACCCTGGGACCCTTTTCTAGGAGGGGTTGCCATGGAAACAGATGGGGTCTGGTTCAGCCTCCTTGGCCGGCCAGGCAGAAGGTGCATCAATCCCAGAGCGGCCTGTATGATCCAGAGGAGCACTGGGCTAGCCCCCAAGGCTTTCTGGTTACTATCTTTACTTTTTTTGAGTGTTCCGGAGCAATCCACTGCCTTTCCGACCCCCCCTCCCCACCTCGCCCAGTTTTGTAGAGTACCTATGATGTCTCCTCTAGCTCACGATGTGGAAGGAGGGGAGCTCCAGCTCACGGTTAATGCCTACAGTGGGCTCATCCGGGCTCCCCTCCACCTCCACCTTTCCTCCAGAGAGCCTGCCAGACAAGGCCGACCAGGACAAGTACGAGCTGCTCTGCCTAAACAACACTCGGAAGCCAGTGGACGCGTTCAGGGAGTGTCACCTGGCCCGGATCCCTTCTCACGCTGTTGTGGCCCGAAGTGTGGACGGCAAGGAGGACTTGATCTGGGAGCTTCTCAACAAGGCGCAGGTGTCCACCTCCTCCACCCCTCTCCCACCCCCCACCCCTCCCCCCCGGCTCCCGAGGCCCTCCCCACCTGCCTGGATTTGCCGTGGGGAGCTTCCTTCCCGAATGTCCTGCTGCTCTACAAGTCTTTCTGCGGCCTCTCTGCACAAAGGCTAACAGATTCAATGCTCTGGACAGCAGAAACCATAGAGGTCTCTCCAGCATTACTGATGAACGGTGTCTCAGGGGCTGGAACAGCAACAGGGGGACGATGAGGCAGTATTCTCAGGACTCTAAGGTGCCTGGGCCCTAGCGACTCTTGAAGCCACAGCTGAATGAGCCACGGGGCCAGTCCCTCCACACGAGGAAGTGAACCAAGGTCCCCGACGCTCAGAATCATCCCCAAGCTCCGGGCGCTGTGGTTCAACATTGTGCTTTTCTTTCCTGTCTATTTCCCACTGACGCTGTAATTCCATTTTTCCTTAATTAGGAAAAGTTTGGAAAAGACAAGTCACCTGCGTTCCAGCTCTTTGGCTCCCCTAAGGATGAGAAGGATCTGCTGTTCAAAGACTCTGCCCTTGGGTTTTTGAGGGTCCCCGCGAAGGTCGATTCTGGGCTGTACCTTGGCTTCAACTACCTCACTGCCACCCAGGGCCTGAGGGAAAGTGAGTGAGGCCCGGGCAGGCCCTGCGGGCAGGCTGGTGGGGGTGCTAAGCCAAGGGGCAGGCCTTCCAGAAAGTACTCTCCCTTCTCCGGCAGCAGAGCTCTGCTCTGGAGCGGCCCTTGTCCATTCGAGGCAGATGCCAGTGTGCTGTGAAGCAAGCCAGGGCATTTTAACAGGCGGGAGAGTCTCCGGACTAATGTGACAGACACCCAGTTAATGTGGTTGTATGTCCCCGGCTCCCCGGCCTGGACAGAACAATCAACTTGCCTCCCTATGAAGTAAGAACCACACACATGAACCGAGAGAGCCAGGGCCCCTCCTGGGATGAATCTGGAAGCTTGGTGAACACAGCTCTGGACTGGGGCCCTGGACTTGGCCGGGATACCACAGGGGGCCAGCTCAGCCATGGCTCCTCCTCTCCTGGGGGGCTGAGATGGAGTCAGCCTGAGCGAGGACACTGCGATGCAGTTAATGGTGGTGCCTGACTGAGGGGAGGTCAGTCCCCTAGGCCATCTCTTGGGGCTGCCGCTGTCTGTGTCCTGGAGCTTTAATCCCGTGGGACCCCGATACTAGGCAAGTCACCGCACTAAGGCTTGAAGGGTGGGTTAGAAGCCAGGGAAGCCTCCAAAGGAACCGAAATAGGAGGCCCGGGGTTACGCGCGCCTGGCGAAGGGGTTGGGCCCCTGAGAGCGGAGGGGGAGAGCGGCAGGGGGCAGCGGGCAGGGGGCAGCGAGCGCAGGGCTTCCGGGCGGTGGGCGGCGCCTGGGTGTCCCCGCCAGGCTCTGGGCCCCACGACCGACCGCTGTGTCCCTGTGCGCAGCGGCTGCGGAAGTGGCGGAGAGGCGCACGCGCGTCGCTTGGTGCGCGGTGGGCAAAGAGGAGGAGGGCAAGTGCCAGCAGTGGAGTCAGGCGAGCCTCAGGAACGTGACCTGTGTCTCAGCGCCCACCGGCGAGGACTGCATCGCCCTGGTCCTGGTAGGGGCGCGGGCTCCGCCGGGGGTGGGGGGCGATCGGAACCGGGAGACACCGTGCAGGCGGGGCACAGGCCCAGAATGCTTGTGGCCTTTCCACTCCCCTGCTTCGAGGAACAGTCGTGATTGTTGCAGGGCGCTGGGAGGACATAGAAAGGTAGCTCGTAGAAAAACAAACAGCAGAGATACACCACGGCTAGTCTTGATAATTTCCTAGCCCCGGATTTCTCCGGACACGTGTGCGCGTGCCCGCAACCGGCCTGGATCGTGCCAGTTCGGTTGGTTTTGAGTCCTTGCCACTTAACGGTACATCGTGGCCATTCTCCCACGTGAATATCCATTCCCTGAAAACACTGAAAAATGATTTGAGGATGTCTTTCCCGTGGCTGTGGCTGTTCAGCCACGAACCTATTCTGCTTTGGCCCGTTATTTTGTTATTACCATTAGACCCCCCACCCTGCCCCCCGTGCTGCATCCCTGAATAGAAATTTTCATCCATATCTTCATATCTCCAGTTTTTAAAAATTTTTGTAAGGTTTATTTATTTTGAGAGAGAGAGAGAGAGAGAGAGAGAGAGAGAGAGTGTGTGTGTGTGTGTGTGCAAGTGGGGGAGGGGCAGAGAAAGAGGGAGAGAGAATCCCAAGCAGGCTCCACACTGTCAGCACAGAGCCTGATGTGGGGCTCGAACGCTCAAACTGGTGAAATCATCATGACTTGAGCCGAGATCAAGAGTCAGAGGCTTCACCGGCTGAGCCACCCAGGTGCCCCTCCAGTTTCTTTTTAAAAATTTTTAACGTTTATTTATTTTTGAGAGAGAGAGAGTGGGGAAGGCTCAGAGAAAGAGGGAAACATAGAATCCAAAGCAGGCTCTGAGTTGGCAGCACAGAGCCCGATGTGGGGCTCGAACTTACAAACTCATGTGGGATCGTGACCTGAGGTGAAGTCGGACGCTTAACTGACTGAACCACCCAGGTGCCCCTCCAGCTTTTTTTTTTTTAATTTTTTTTTAATAGAGTTGTAAGAAAATTATTACTGAGCCGAAGAGCGAGTTTGCAGTCTTGATGAATCCATACTCGAATGTTGGGGTGCGGGTGCGTTCATTCCCCTGGCGAGGCAGCTCAGTCGTTTCTGCTCATCGGTTGAACAACTTCTTTGTCGAACTTGAGCGTAACGCCAAGGGGCTGAGACCAGACAAGGCGGCTTGTTCGATCCGTCTCCTCACTGAGTGAGGCTGGTCCAGGAGGGCGTCCCAAGAGCGTCTGGGGGACAGAGGGTCAATGCAACCTGTGCCTGGTCTGTCCATTGGGAGCGACCGCACGAAGGGTGCGCGGGGCTGATAATCGAGAGTGTGCCAAGTGTCCTTGGGTGCTCAGTTCAAACAGGCCCTGTCTCTTTCTGCTACCTCGTCGGAGCACCTGACGTTCCCTGACCTAAAGCCATTCTCTCAGACAGCCTAGAAATAGACGAGACGGGAAAGCGCCCTTCTGTATGGTGCCGACGATTTGCTTTGGTTTTACAGAAAGGAGAAGCCGACGCCCTGAGCCTGGATGGAGGACTGATCTATGTTGCGGGCAAGTGTGGTTTGGTGCCTGTCCTGGCAGAGAACCAAAGTAAGTCGGTGTTGGGGGGGGGGGCGGGGGTGTCCTCTCTGGTTTCTTCCGTCTGGCCCATGGGAGCAGTAACCTCACTTGGTGGGTCCAGGGGCAGATGCTGAGATGGACGGATGCATTCAAACAGGAGAATCGGGGAGGGGGAGCAAGAATAGTTGAAAAGGGCCTTTACCCACACGGCCTGTGTGTTGAGAAGTGACAAAGCACAGATTGGTTTCCTCTTCTTCATGTAAAACAGGATTTTGGTCAAGTACAATATACATACAGAAAAGTGCCCGTAAGTGCAACTCAGTGACGTGTCACAAACTGGTGGGTCCCCATGCCCTAGTGCCCCGATCACGGCAAGTTCCGGATGGCCCCCGGCGCCCTCCTGCCACCAGCCGCCCTACTCAAGCGAGGGCAGTAACCCCTGACTTCAAACGGCACAGATCAATTCTGCCTGTTTAAAAAAAATTTTTTTTAAAATTTTTATTCATTTTTTGAGAGAGATGGAGACAGAGCGTGAGCAGGGGAGGGGCAGAGAGAGAGGGAGACACAGAATCTGAAGCAGGTTCCAGGGTCTGGGCTGTCAGCACAGAGCCCGTCGCGGGGCTCGAACTCACGAGCTGTGAGATCATGACCTGAGCCAAAGTCGGACGCTTAACCGACTGAGCCGCCCAGGCGCCCCAATATCTGCCTGTTTTTAAACCTTCCGTGCGAGACACGTGCTTTGTACGTCTGTTGCTCAGTGTTATGTCCGTGAGATTCATCCGAAGAGTATTGAATCTCGCTGCTGTATGGTATTCTGTAGTTATTCGTCCATCTATGGGGGAGAGGCGTTCGGGTCATTTCCAGTTGGTGGCTGTTGTTTGGGTCGTTTCCAATTGGTGGCATCTGCATCTGTGTCTTTTGCTGAACACACGCATCTGTGCCTTTCTGCTGCATGGGATTGCTGGACGGTCTCTTCGGATTTGATCCCGCATCGCTGAGATTTAAGAGTTTGTGGCTTCTCAGTAAAGCTGAGTGTTTAATGACATTTTGCTTATTTTTGCTCCTTTCAGAATCACAGATCCCTAATAATGAACGTTGTGAGGATAGACGAGTGCAAGGTGAGTTGGAATCTGCTAATTTCAGGGTCATGGGTAAGTTCTCATTGCTGGAGGAGGAGGAGGCGGCGGCCGGGAACTTAAAAGAAAAAAAAAAAAACCTCACAGAAAGAGCTACAGCCACAGAAGCCGTAAGCTCTTTTGAAGAGGCAAATAATTCATAGACGAGTAATTGTAATTAATGTTATATTGACCTTCACACTTGGCAGAGAACTGTCAGAGTTCTTCACTGTTCTCACAGCCATGGACGGTACTGCGGCAGATCCTGGCCTTGAACCGGGTCTCCCGGGCTAGATCCCGTGCTCTGAGCGTTACCCCCACCCTCCCGCTGGAGCCTGGGCTTGCTCAGGTTCCAGCTCCGCACTTGTCCACGGCTGGAATCCGTCAGCGACGCACCGTCAGGAGAGGGATTGCCACCATGTGGACCCTCTCACGGTGCAGGGCTGGTTTGGACTTGGCACGGGGGGGGGGGGGGGGGCCTTGCAGACACACTCCCTGCACCTACACAGCACTTAGTCTGGTGGCCATCGTGGCTGTGGCCCAGTGTCTGTTGCAGCTGGTGATTTATGCACTATTGGGGTCACACTTGTTCAGTGGTTTTTTTTTTTGCCTTAGTGGCTCACGTCTAATTTAGTAGCTCACAATGTATGCCTGGCCAAGGACAGTCCCTAGCAATCACTTAAAGGATCCGCTTTTCCTGGGGCGCCTGGGTGGGTCAGTCGGTTAAGTGTCCGACTTTGGCTGAGGTCACGATCTCCCAAGTTTGTGGGTTCGAGCCCTGCGTCGGGCTCTGTGCTGACGGCTCAGAGCCTGGAGCCCGCTTCGGATTCTGTGTCTCCCTCTCTACCCCTCCCCTGTTCATGCTTTGTCTCTTTCTCTCTCAAAAATAAATAAACATGAAGGATCAGCTTTTCTTACTATTTCGTTTCATAGCCTAGATCGTTCTCACCTTCCCATAGAACAGCAGCCGAAGCTTCAGGCAGTGGCCGGATATCTGGGGGCATCATCGCCTGGCGATGCTTCTTGACTTACTTTGGCTTGGCTTGCAGACGGATGCGCTAGAGTCCCATGCCAGGCACCCTGGAGGTTAAGTCCTGCTCTTCTGTTGCTCAAGGGTACCTTGCCGTGGCAGTTGTCAGGAAATCAGATGCGGGTATCACCTGGAATTCTCTGAGAGGCAGGAAGTCTTGCCACACCGCCGTGGACAGGACTGCCGGCTGGAACATCCCCATGGGCCTGCTGTTCAGCCAGACAGGCTCCTGCAAATTTGGTGAGGCCTGAGGGCGTCGTGGGTGGGCCACCCTGGGCGGTAGGCACATCGAGCTGTGGAACCTCAGGGAAGGGCAGGGGCGGGGATGTGCAGGCTGACTGCGGCCCGTGGGCCGCTTTTGGGGTAAAAAGCGTTCTCTGTGTGGCTGCCTCCTACAGTCATAGGAGCACTGAGTGGGTCTCTACCCAACACGTCCCATGCCCCAGCTCCCCCAGCCCCCCCAACCCAAGATAAAAATTCTGGAGTATCAGTCTGTTTCTCTGCACCCTAAGAACGGAGGCAGGTTCTGAGAAGTACGGATGTTATTATTATTATTATTATTATTATTTTTAATCTCTTGGAGCTCTGGATCCGAATTTCTCTTAGGCGCTGGCTTCCTAACTTGGGGAAAGGCACCTGCCTGCCTCATGAAGCTGACTTCTTGCTCCACATGGCAAGGAAACCAAATTAGACCTCCAGGGTTCTGGCTCACTTGCTTCCGGGGCCTTCTGTCCCGGCCGTACCCCAGGCTCACACCCCGTGCTCTACCTGCTGTGGGCCTGGTGCCGTGGAAGTATGTGGCATGTTCCCGCCGGAGCTCACCTCTCGTGCAGGGGTCTCCTCGAGTGGGGCCCTCCTGCATTTTGGATGGGTTAGGGTTTCCACGTGGCTCTGCTCCTCACCGCGAGCGCTCGCTGTGGTTGCTCTGCACAACCCCCGCGGCCTCCTCCGAGCTGGGGGGAAGCTGCCAGGACCTTAGCGGGGTGCTCCCCAGCCTCCTCCGGAGGTTAGCACGCGGGGTGGCTCTTCCGGGGGCGGGGGCTGCACACGTCTCAAAACGGGCTCTCGCTGCTCATCGAGGCGGGACTTTCTTGTCCGCATCGTGTTCTCTCTCCTCAACCCACATTAATCCATGTTGGCTCCCTAACGCGGGTTAAATCACACGATGGGCTAGTGCAGATTACGTTTAAGCTGCTGGGAGAGAAAACACTGACTGGCAGAGGCTTATTTCCCTCTCGTGCAAGTGCAATCCAGAGGTGGATTGTCCACAGCTACTGGGACAGCAGCACAGTGTCAGCAACCCGGGCTCTGACAATGTGGCTTCCGTGCTCAAGGTCACCTCATGGCCCGTGGAGGTCTAGTTCCCGCTTCTGCTTTCCATGTGCAGAATGAAGGAGGGGAAGGAGAAGAAGAGGCAAAAGGCAGGTGCCAACTGTCTTTTAAGGGTGTTTCCAGGACGCTGGCACACAGCGCTCCTGCTTGATGCTCCCTGGCGCGTCCCTAGCCACAAGACTCTACTGGGCACGGGGTGGCGGGGGAGGCCAGTCTTTATTCTAAGGGACCAGGAGCCCGGGTCAAAAGCTGGCTTTCTATTTCGGAGGCAAAGGAAAATCAGGTCCTGCAGGGTGCCACCAAGTTCATCAGCTGAGTCCCCAGCTCGAGGCTGTCATCATGGGACCCTCTGTCCAGTGACAGACTCTTTTCTCCGGCCGCAATCAGGATTCCCGTCGGTGCCTACAGGGAGAAGCTTCTCCGATTTCTGGCGGGCCTTTGGTGGGTGGGTCCGTGTTGCCGTTCGCGACGGTGAGCGTCTTCTGTCTGTCCTGTGCCGTGTAATGAACCCAGACCCAGTGGCATCGCCTGCTGGGCAAAGGCCTCTTACGTCGACTCGGGCAGGAAGAGCTGACTCCCGGTGTTCCTTCCCCGCAGGTGAATTCTTTAGTGAGAGCTGTGCCCCCGGGGCCGACCCGAACTCCAATCTCTGTGCGCTGTGCATTGGCGACGAAAAGGGTGAGAACAAGTGTGTGCCCAACAGCAGTGAGAGATACTTTGGCTACACTGGGGCTTTCAGGTGAGTGCCGCGGCCGAGCCTCCCCAGGACAGGGACTTGTCCTTCGTCCGTCATCCTCTGGCATCTTGGCAGTGCATTTCTAAAGGGTCAGACATGGCCTGTCACGGCAGAGGCAGGGAGCAGCCTGGAGGTCCACTGATGGACTGTTCCTCCCCCACACAAGCCACTGCAGACAGTGGAGGCTGACAGGGTGCTGTCTGACCTCAGCTCAGCCGGGCGCCTCCCTGTGGCCTGGGGCCAAGGTCGGCGTCAGTGGGCCTCAGGGTCCTCATCCTCAGAATCAAATGGGGAGAGTACGTGGCCCCTTAAGTCCCGTCTATAATTCAATTTTAGGGGGAAGACTTCTCTCTCCTGTAGCCGCCACCCTCTAGGCCAACACCAAGAGTCGGCCACTTAACCGACTGAGCCAGCCAGGTGTCCCTGAGCTTTTCAGTATGTAAAATTCAGTAGCCAGGGGCGCCTGGGTGGCTCAGTCGGTTAAGCGTCCGACTTCAGCTCAGGTCACCATCTCACGGTTCGTGAGTTCGAGCCCCGCTCCAGGCTCTGGGCTGATGGCCCAGAGTCTGGAGCCTGCTTCCGATTCTGTGTCTCCCTCTCTCTCTGCCCCTCCCCTGTTCATGCTCTGTCTCTCTCGGTCTCAAAAATAAATAAAACGTTAAAAAATAAATAAATAAAATATGGGGCGCCTGGGTGGCGCAGTCGGTTAAGCGTCCGACTTCAGCCAGGTCACGATCTCGCGGTCCGTGAGTTCGAGCCCCGCGTCCGGCTCTGGGCTGATGGCTCGGAGCCTGGAGCCTGTTTCCGATTCTGTGTCTCCCTCTCTCTCTGCCCCTCCCCCGTTCATGCTCTGTCTCTCTCTGTCCCAAAAATAAATAAACATTGAAAAAAAAAAATTAAAAAATAAATAAATAAATAAATAAATAAAATAAAATTCAGTAGCCTTTTCTCCAGTGATGGGAGGATACAGAAGTAGCTTTTACTCTCGTCTCAGTGGCCCATGAAAGTATTTTGCAGACGGACAAGAATATCTTTAAGGGTTTGCAAAGGGAAGAGTTGTGATGTGATTCCACTCCGATACATTGAGTAGACACGTTTCCGATAAAAACCCAAAGGAATCATGTGGTTTTCTCTCTTAAACCTGTGGGAAGGTATTATTTCACTGGAAACCTTTACACCTTGGTATTCCTGTTTATACTGGAAGGAAATGGTTTGTCTTTTGTTCCCACTGAGAGCTGGGACCAGACGTCCTGTTACCACTGTATTTCTAACCAACGTCCTTATATTGCTGGTTCTTAATTTTCAACCATCAGCTATTTTCCGCGGACTTTCTATTCTGGAGGAAGAGATCTTAGCCTCTCCTGTGCCTGTTCCGCTCACATCCACAAACTTCACCTGCTTTTAGCCTCCCACAAATTTATGTCATGTTCAGTACATGACCATGGATATGTAAATATTATTCTCCTATTAAATATGTGGTATAATAAGGTTGTACAAAGTTTCTGTTTACTCTAGAGTTAACCGGTGTCTCATTTTTTGTTTGCTTAATCTTCTGTGCTTAAAAAGAAAAATCACTAATTCATCTCAAAACCCCTAGCCAGGAGCGTAAACCTCCTAACAATACATACCCAGAGTGAGTGCTGGCCGGGGTTCCCCATCAGGTGATGGGGAATATTGCTCCTGCCCCGTCTGGACTGGTTTTCTCTAGGCCCCCTGGATTTCTGTGGTCCTGGGATTCCCCTTGATGGTCCTTCTGGGATTTCCTTTTGTTGTACTTCGTGTTAAATTGCCCACTTCCCGGATCCCGTATCTTTCGCTTTCTTGGTTTTGTTGGCACGGAACACATCTTTTTGAGAAGGGGTGGCTTGGATTTGCTGTGTTTTGAGTATTACATGTCTGGAAACGTCTTTCTTCCATCTTTGAAATGATTTCTAGTTTGGCTGGATAACTAAGTGGAGGTTGAAAAACATTCTCCCTAAGGATTTTGACAGGATTTCCACGTCTGGGAAATGGCAGTGTTAGCTATTTTGACTGATTCTCTCACTAAAAACAAGCAAAAATGCTGGATTAGTACACACGTGCACACACACACACACACACACACACGTTCTTTTTTAAAAAACATTTTTAAGAAATATTTTTATTTATTTTTGAGAGAGAGAGAGACAGAGCACCAGCAGGGGAGGGGCAGAGAGAGACACACACACACACACACACACACACACACACACACAGAATCCGAAGCAGGCTCCAGGCTCTGAGCTGTCAGCATAGAGCCTGACACGGGGTTTGAACCCACAAACGGTGAGATCATGACCTGAGCTGAAGTTGGACACTTAACTGACTGAGCCACCCAGCTGTACCCTCACACACGTGTTCTTAAGAGTATTGAATAACTGGGGCGCCTGGGTGGCGCAGTCAGTTAAGCATCCGACTTCAGCCAGGTCACGATCTCGCGGTCCGGGAGTTCGAGCCCCGTGTCGGGCTCTGGGCTGATGGCTCAGAGCCTGGAGCCTGTTTCCGATTCTGTGTCTCCCTCTCTCTCTGCCCCTCCCCCGTTCATGCTCTGTCTCCCTCTGTCCCAAAAATAAATAAACGTTGGAAAAAAAAAAAGAGTATTGAATAACTGACAAAGTAGTAAAGGATTATTAGACTAAAATCTAAGGGAGACTAGGAATTCAGAGAGAGCTAAGTGCCCACTTTTTCCTCAGGACATTTACCTTCATGACAGACATGAACCTGGAGGTTACCTACACCTTTAAGGTAGGAATGAACCAGAAGTAACTTCCACTCCTACAGGGCATCAAGTTCCTGGATGCCGAGGAGAACAGGGAGGGAGAATGCATACCACCCCCCTGAGAACCTGAAACCATGAGCCAGCTTCTGCGTGGATTTGTAGCTCAAACTTGTATCCCCTAGGATGGTCCAGAAATTCTCGACTCACAAATATCTTTAAAAATGATCCCAGGGCACCTGGTGGCTCAGTCGGTTAAGTGTCCAACTTTTGGCTCAGGTCATGATCTTGCGGTTTGCAAGTTTGAGCCCCGCGTCGGGCTTTGTGCCAACAGCTCAGAGCCAGGAGCCTGTTTCGGATTCTGTGTCCCCCTCTCTTTCTGCCCCTCCACCGCTCGTGCTCTGTCTCTCTCTCTCTCTGTCTCTCTCTCTTTCAAAAAATAAAAATAAACAAATACACATTAAAAAAGAAAAGATCCCAGCCTAGTGGTCCCTCTAGAAACATGCCTGGAAGACAGCACTTTCATGGTAGGCCTCCAAAGACTGCTCAGAAATCCTGTCTCAATAACGATGAGCAGTACACAATAAAAAAGAATTATAATAATATTAACCAACAGACCAGGCTACCAAGCTACCAGAAGCAAAATCCAGCAGAAAAAACAAGGTAGTATTTCTTTTGATAGAAGAATAAACAGAACTCTGGAAAGGGAAAAAAACACAGCAGTTGAAACTAGCCATGCAATTGACCAGATTAACAGCATAGACACAGTAAAAGGAGAATGAAGGAAGATTTGTGAAAAACCTATCCAGAATTTAGCAGAAAGACAATACACAGCAAAGCTCAAAAAATTAAATGCGTTGATCCATTGTCTTCTAAGTCTAGCGTTTCTGTTGAGAAATCGGATACCACTTTGGATTTCTGATTCTTTGCATAGGACACTTTCATCTTGAAAAAACTCGATTTTTGAATTTGGAATACTTTATGTATAATTTCCTGAGAGAATAAGCCTTAGAAGGCTTAGAAAGCATCCTGGACACACAAGTCTATGCAAAGGATGTTTTGTGAAGAGTGAAGAAATCAGACACCTAATACATCTCTCTTATATGTGTATTTCTCTCTAAATTTACAGAGATTTAGCGGTAATGAAAAATACGTCTAGGAAAAATTCATCTGGGGTTTTATCCAATGTAACATGTTTCGAAAACGAGTTTCTTACAAAGTTTCTGAGTTTTTAAAAACATGATTTCTTTTCTTTTATTTTATTTTTAATTTTTTTTTTCAACGTTTATTTATTTTTTGGGACAGAGAGAGACAGAGCATGAACGGGGGAGGGGCAGAGAGAGAGGGAGACACAGAATCGGAAACAGGCTCCAGGCTCCGAGCCATCAGCCCAGAGCCCGACGCGGGGCTCGAACTCACGGACCGCGAGATCGTGACCTGGCTGAAGTCGGACGCTCAACCGACTGCGCCACCCAGGCGCCCCTAAAAACATGATTTCTTTTAATCTCCAGTATTCTGAAACTTGACACTAATATTTCTGTACGTGGGTCTCCTTTTCATCCTTTGGGATTGGGCCATTGGTGGGCCCATTTCATCTGGAAGCTCAAGGTGTTCCGTTCTGGGAAATTTTACTTCATTATTTTTTGACGATTCCTACGCTGTTTTCTCTGGTTTCTCTTTAAACTTTGATTCGTAAATTACAGACTCCTGGGTCTCATTTTCTTCTTATTTATTTTTTCATAATTGCTTTTCTTTATCTTCCAGTTTCTGGGATACTTGCTCAGCTTAACCTTCTAATTGTTCTATCGTTTTTAAGAATTTTTATGATGATGATTTTTTCTTTTTTTACTTTCTGAGAACTCTTTGTTCCGACTGCTCCTTTTTTAGACTTTGCATTCTTGTTTCATGAATGCTGCCCCTTCTCTCATCCCTTTAAAGACATTCATTGTCGTTTTTTTAAAAAAAAAGTGTTATTCTCTCTCCCATATTGTCTCTGTATTTTCTGAGTATTGCTTTGGTCTCCATTTATTTTTTCTGGTATATCTTCAACTATCCAGCGGTTTCTGGCCCTTTGTCCCTATTTAAGAAGGAAATAATGGCGCTGTCACAGTTCTGCATCAGTTACCACATCTTGGCAAGTAGGGGCCTCACCTGTGGTGCAGTTGGTTTGTGTCATTTCACTGTGGGGCATCAAATATCAGAATCGATAGGCGTTTTTCTTGGGTTGATCAGCTTCTCCGGAGAAAGAATCACCCTGTATGCTTCTCGGGAGGCTGAGTAGGGGAAAGGGGCTATGATTTAATCTTCCAGAATAGAGATTTTCAATCCCCCTTCTTTTCTTTTTTTTTTAAATGTTTTATTTATTTTTTGAGAGCGAGAGACAGAGTGTGAGCAGGGGAGGGGCAGAGAGAGAGGGAGACACAGAATTTGAAGCAGGCTCCAGGCTCCGAGCTGTCAGCACAGGGCCCGACAGGGGCTCGAACCCACGAACTGTGAGATCATGACCTGAGCTGAAGTCGGATGCTTAACCGACGAGCCACCCAGGCGCCCCTTTCAATCCCCTTTCTGATTTTAGTGTTGGGCCTCTGCCCTCTGCGGTGCTTGGCTGTCTGTCCGTAGTGTTGTTCAGGTTCAAGTTCCTGTGAACAAACCTTCAGTCTCCTGCTGGGTGGGGGGAGGGGGAGTGCTCTCCCGGGTGCATGGGATAGGAGGGTACCTGCCCAGTCCTCCTGTGTCAGCCACTCTCAGGGGTGCCTGGTCCTTCTAACTGATGAGTCTTTCTGGGGTTCTGCAGTGCACATCCGTTTTCTTCTGGGCTTCCTACACTTCCGGCTTATGGTACCGCTGTTCTGTGCTCTGCTGGGGAAATCACTGCTCATTGATTTGCTCTCCACCTTCCAAACATGGTCATATTATCTTCTCTCCCTGTTGCCCTCCTCTTGCTCATGGTTTATGGCTTACAAAAAAAAAAAATCGCACTACTGTAAAAAAAAAAAAATCTCACTAACGGTATTTTATTGGGATCTTAGAAGCAGGGAAAGTTCACATGTGTGTTCAAGCTACCATTTAAAATCCTAAGTTCCAGGAATATTTGTTTTCGTCTGTGCCACGCATATGACAAATATTTATGAAAACCCTAATAGTTTTTCTTCTCGGGCAATGTGTTTATTTTAGGTGCCTGGCTGAGAAGGCTGGAGACGTCGCCTTTGTGAAGGACTCCACTGTCCTGCAGAACACGAATGGTGGGTGAATACATCCCAGTATTCAGATGTGCAGTCGGGAAGCTATTAGAACCTTTTCCGGGCTTTGGATCAAGTTCATTCCAAAATTCTTTACCTCATATGCAACATGGTGCATCTGTGAGTGTCACGTTGACTTTGAAACCAAGTTCCCTCTGTCTCACTCTCTCTCGGACACACGCACATGCACACAAACACGCACCAGCCGTGCTCAGTAACAAATGTCTCCCTGGCGTTGTCTAGTCACCCACGAAGCACACCGTCTGCCTGTTCCCACATGGACAACTGAATGTGGATGCTACCAAAAAAAAAAAAAAAAAAAAAAAAAAAAAGAAAGAAAAATTGATATGCGCAAATACAATGAATACAATTTCCTTTTTTTAAATGTTTATTTATTTTTGAGAGACGGAGACAGAGTGTGAGTGGGGAAGGGTCAGAGAGGGAGACACAGAATCCAAAGCAGGCTCCGGGCTCTGAGCTGTCAGCGCAGAGCCCGACGCGGGGCTCGAACTCTCGAGCTGCGAGATCTTGACCTGAGCCAAAGTCAGACGCTTCACCGACTGAACCCCCAGGTGCCCCAAACTTCCCTTTTTAAAAAAGGAAGTAAGGGCCTTCATTGGGACCTCATGGGAGCCCTCAGTCTGGAAACTCCTTGGGAGTCACTGGAGACAAAGTCACAGGCAGATAGAGATAATGGAAGATAAATGGTGATAATTGCCAACTTCCGCACCCGTACATCCGGCTGCCTTCCGAACTGCAGCCCCACTCGGCCCCCACGGCCCCCAGCAGATAACTTGCCACTTCATCCCTTGAGGAAGAGCCACCTGGACTTCCTGCCTCTGTCCTTCAAACATCGGCACTCACAGCCCCTCTTCCCTCCTCCTGCCCCTCTCCATGGAGATGGACTGAGGACAGCCATATAAATTTGGAATGATCTCAGTATCAAATAGACAAAGCCAAGAGAATGGATGAAGTGTTTTTAAAAATTTTTTTTTTTAAATTAGAGAGAGAGAGAGAGCATGCAAGCTGGGGAGAGGGGCAGAGAGAGAAAGAGAGAAAGAGGGCCTCATAAACAGGCTACATACTCAGCACAGAGACTGACGCAGGGCTCGATCCCATGACCCTGGGATCGTGACCCGAGCCAAAATCAAGAGTCCCATGCTCAACTGACTGAGTCACCCAGGCTCCCCTTTTTTTGAGGGGAGAGAGCGGAAAGAGAGACGCAGGGGTCTGAGCAATGAACCTGTATTTGCACACACTCAGACACGCATACAATTACATTTTGAATTTGTGAACCGTCACTCTAAGTGATGTCCAAGGATCAGACTGATGTCAGCTTTTTTTTTTATACTGAAGGATAATTAACATCCAGTGTGATAACAGTTTCAGATACACAGTATAGGGATTCAACACTTCTGTATACTTCTCAGTGCTCATCCCAATCAGGGGACTCTTGATCCCCTAGAGTGATGTCAGATTTAATTGTCTGTCAATTTCTTTGGGATTTCACAACTGCGTTTTATTGGAATTGACTGAACATATTTGAGAAATGTATAGAGGTTCCTCACCTTTTCCTAGTGACAGTAAGACCATTCGAACACGAAAGGAAGGAGAAAGCAATTTCTTCTTGGACATAAACCGGATGGTTCTTTTTCTGGAGCTCACTAGAAAATATGGCATAGATGGAAGGTTTTCTTTTTAAACAATCAACAGCTCTATTAAGAGATAATTCATGCCACGAAATCCGTCCGTTCAAATTGTGCGATTCAGTGGTCTCCAGCACATTCATGGAGCTGTGTGACCCACCCACACAGTCCGATTCTAGAATACTCACACAAGCCCATAAAGTGACCCTGTGCCCTTCCCCTCTCCTCCAGAGCTGGCAACCTTCAGCTCGCTTTCTGTCTCTGTAGATTGGCCTGCTCTGGACATTTCACACAAATGGAACCATGTGGCCTTCTGAGACTGGCTTCTTTCACTTGGCATCGTGTTTTCAAGGCCCATCCACGTTGTAGAACGTGTCAATGATTCCCTCTCTTTGGTTGTTGACTCCTAATTCCCTTGAACGGAAGCAGCCCTAACGTTTGATATGCTGGGAGTTCGTATCGTCGGTGCCGACAAAGCTTCCTTCCCTCTCTCGCGCGTCACTGAGACCCGCCTGTGTGCGTTTCAAGAGGCCGGTGGACTCGTCCAGCCCACCCAGGGCGGACCTTTGACTAAGCTGGACAGCCAGGGCTGATGCCGCTTCTTTTTCTCTCCCCAGGAGGGAGCTCTGAGGCATGGGCTAAGGATTTGAGGCTGGAGGACTTTGAGCTGTTGTGCCTGGACGGCACCCGGAAGCCTGTGAAGGATGCGGAGAGGTGCCACCTGGCCAGGGCTCCGAACCACGGCGTGGTGTCTCGGGAAGATAAGGCGAAACACCTGGAGCAGGTGCTGCTCCAACAGCAGGTGCGGATCCCCAGGGCCTCCGGCCCTTTCTTAACTGGCCGGGCTCTTGGGGGGCGGGGCGGTTGTAGGTAAAGCCGCCTACCTACGGCCCTTCTGTCTTGTCCCTCTGCCTGGCGCCGGTGGCTTCATGTGTTGGCTTCATGCTGAGGAGCTGCCCGGAGTCTCCGTGAGAATAGCAGAGGCATCTGCCTTTGTAATCTCGAAGGACAACAACAGACCCAGAACTCCCATAGATTGAAGGCTGTCTGTGGAAAGTGGTTTGAAGCAAACGGTGCAATTTCCTTAAAGTCTGGGATTCTCTTTTGTTTTTTAAAAATATTTTGTAATGTTTGTTTATTTTGGAGAGAGAGAGAGACAGAGACAGAGCATGAGCGGGGAGGGGCAGAGAGAGAGGGAGACCCAGAATCCGAAGCAGGCTCCGGGCTCCGAGCTGACAGCACAGAGCCCGACGCGGGGCTCGAACCCACGAACCGTGAGATCACGATCTGGGCTGAAGTTGGATGCTTAACCGACTGAGCCACCCAGACGCCCCTGGGATTCTCTTTTAGAGCTTCTAGTTTTGTATTAAAACCCATGCGTCTTAAGTGTGCTTTAAAGACAGTACCCCGGCCTCGTAATAAAAGGCGCGGTAATCTCACTGTTGGCACACTCACTGGGGCTGATAAGAGGTCTTTAATCATCGAGGTGTTTTGCTCTGACTCCTGAGCATAGAGGAGGATCTATGGCCACGGGAGGCTGAGCGGCCCGCTCAAGGCAATGACCTGCTCAGTGGCAGAGAAGATTTCCAATGCAGACAGTTTCTCTAGGAAAGCTGGCCTGTGGGAATGCCGTAGGTGATCTTGGAAATCCTCAGCTGTCACCTGGCCACCCAGAGGTTCTAAGGGAAGAGACCACAGATTAACAAGGAGGGGACGATGGTGGGAGGTGGGTCAGAGGTAGTGGGGGGGCCCAGGCCCTGCCCGGTGGGTCGGCCACCCGGGGCACGGGCTGCGGGATGACACGGGGGTGGCAGGAGGCTCAGGTGAGGCAGTGGAAGGACTCCAGAACTCAGCTCCAGAACTCAGGGCTGAGCCTGGCTGGAAGGAATGTCCTTGGCCTCTCCTGGTCCACACGTTCTCCTGTTTCCCTCGGCGACTCGCTTACTTGTCTGCCCTTTTGGTACAGACTCAGTTTGGAACAAACGGAGACAAATGCCCGAGTGAGTTTTGCCTGTTCCGGTCCAAAACCAAAAACCTCCTGTTCAATGACAACACCGAGTGCCTGGCCAAACTCCAAGGCAAAACGACGTATGAAGAATATTTGGGATCGGCATATGTCACGGCCGTTGGTAATCTGAGACAGTGCTCAACCTCCCGTAAGTAGGACGTCCCGGAGAAACCATCGCGCGTGAAGGGCAAGGTTGGAGGGCCAAACAGCATTCCAGGAGGGAAGATGGGAAAAAAAATGTGAAGGCAATGCGATATCCCCCGACCTCGGGAAGTTACAGCCTCACTGCAGTGGATAATATGCTAAGTTTTTATAATCCTGATTGTAAGTGCCTGTCAGGGAGGTTTTAGACACTGAGAATTCATTGTATTCAGTAGAATGAAGCGTGTGTATATCTATATGTAAGTGTATGCACCTGCACACATATATATGTATGTGTATACGTGTATGTATTCAGAAAGCACAAACCGCGGTCTCTAGACAATTACCATAAATGCCAACTGTCGAGACTACAAATTCTCAGAAAGTATCTTAGCCAGGAAAACATATTGACAAATAACTTGGCCCTCCAAAAACATTTCTAAGACATCGCAGAGCATTGTAAGGCTCCAGGCGGTGATTCTAAAATTTCAACGGGCATTGCCTCCCCTGTGCCGGGGGAGGCCGGGCGGGGAATCACCCAAAGTCTTATTTCTGGCACCTCATCCAGACAGCTGGAGGCATCGGGGGGGGTGGTCCAGGGGTGGGGCGGGGCCAAGAATCTCTGTATCAGCTGTTCCCAACCAGGCACAGTTCCCCTGCCCCGGACCGAGGGGACATCTGGCAACGCTTGGAGGCGTTTTTGATTCTTACAACTTAGGGGGGTGCTGCTGGTGTCTGGGGGGCAGAAGCCAGGGATACTACCAAACAAAGCACGGGACGGCCTTCTCGATGAAGAATTGCCTGGGCCCAAACGTCAATAGCCTCACTGTCCTTAACCACCCGGCGTCTTGGGATCGTGGCCGGGTGGTCCTAGCACTGACGACATTTTGAGAAAGAGGCTGTAGGGCTATTCCTGGGAGCAGCCAGCTCAGGACTGCACAGACTGCCTGCCCCTTGAGGGCAGGGCCTGTGTGTCCCTGCCGAGCCCCCAGCCCTTAGCGCAGTGACTCACGCAAAGCAGGCCCCCGTGAGTATTTGTGAAGGGCTGGGTGAACACGAGTGGGGACAGATTTGCATAAAGACGAGGGCGTGGGTTGCCCACATTTCAGAAGTGAGAGGACCGTCGTGTCACGTGAACTTGAGGGTGACAGTTGGTTCCGTTAGAGACAAATGGGGTGGGGGCGGCGTCCGTCGGGCCAGGGCGGGACATCACCCAGGTTAGCGGGGGCCCGAGCGGCTGGGCTGACGTGAGGAGGAAGGCACAGGGAGACAAGTGAGCCGGCACCGCCGAAGGCAGGGGAGGGTCTGTTTCTTAGTGCCCTCCTTGATTGATCTATTGATTAAAAGAAATCAGTTACTGACTCTTCTGCTTTGGTGTGTCCCACAGCGCTTCTGGAAGCCTGCGCCTTCCTGAGGAGGTAAACCCACCCGCAGACTCCGTGGCCCCCCCTCCTGCGGCAGCCCAGGCCCGCCCCGCTCTCAGCCCCGCCTGGGGCGCTGGGCCGTCCCCCTTCCCAGCCAGTCACCTGCTTTCGCGGCCCTCAGCCGTCATCCTGGCAATAAAGGAAATGAGAAAGCCTGTCGGTTGTCATTCCTTAGAAGGCGTCCTTTCATCTTCTCTAGAATTTTATACTGAAATCCGGTGTCTGATCGAATATGAGCACAGCTGGGCCTGTCCTCGCTTGTGTTTTCCAGGTTCAGCGCCTGGAGTTTCGGGTTCGGGGCCTGCTGGTCTGGAGCCAAAGGACAGGCCCGGCAGCTGGCTTTCTCGGGGGCATCTGGCTGGTCGTTCACATGATCGGTGCCATGTGTGTGCGTGTGCTCGTGTGTGCATGTGGGCATGTGTCTGTGTGTGCACTTGTACCTGTGTGTGGGTGTGCGTTTGAGTGTGCATGTGTTTCTAGGGCAGAGCGAGGGAATAGGGAGTAGGACTGGTGAGAAAAACCGGGTGTCACAACGATTTTTGAGTACTTGGTATTTTAAATAAATTGCATCAGGTACAGTGAACGGACAACTACAAGGGTCATAGGGAAAGGTGAAAACCTTTAAGACATTTTTAAAAAGTATCTATTTTTGAGAGAGGGAGAGCGCAAGCACGGGAGAGAGGGGGGGACAGAGGATCCAAAGCAGGCCGCAGGCTCTGAGCTGACGGCAGTGAGCCCGATGCAGGGCTCGAACTCGCAAACCTCGAGATCACGACCTGAGCCGAAAGCAAGAGTTGGGCACTCAACCAACTGAGCCACCCAGGTGCCCCTGTTTTGATTTTTAGAGTCTACCTATGAGTGAGGTCCTATAACATTTGTCTTGAGTCTGACTTATTTCACTTAGCATAACACTCTCTAGGTCCTCCTCTATCTTTGACTTAACTTTGATAGCACATGGGAAGTACATAAAGTGTCTTGACGTTTCTTGTGATTCAAACATTAGTTGTCAAGTGACTTTACTACAGTGTATGCTTCATATGTAAGTGCTATTTTGCCTTGTAACGTCAGGTTGAGTTTATTAAGAAACATAGTGAATTCGGCAGAGAAATTTAGTTTTCAAAGCCATTCCGTGTTCTATAAAGTAGATACGGACCATCCTTCTTGTTCAGAAAAATTTCCGTTGTGGCCCTGAACGCAATCTGCCACTGTTAAGCCACAAAACTGCTGTGTGGTAGGGTGAGTCACGATATGAAATTTTTATTTCTGAAAAAAAAAATCCACAGAATTAAGGATAGGTAAGCCCATGGCAGCCAATGAACCTCACTGTTGAGACTGCTGGTTTAATTCACATCTTAAATTCCAATTATTTCTCACAGAGTACCGGTAGCGAATGACCATTGACTTTACCATTTTTACAGATTTTGTAAATTTGGCCAACTGAGCCTTTTCCTGCTCAACGCAGACTTGAACTCCCATCGCTTATAACACGTATTGGCAGATCGCACTTCAGATTGTACTGAATTAGTGTTCTCTCAACTTCCTTGAAAATATTCTTGCCTGTCGTTACTTTGTGCAGGCTCTTCATGTAGCACGAAAACCTAGTGAATTCCACAGACCAGGTCGCTCTTACCTCTTTACCCATAGCTTCAGCTGGCCAGTTCTTTTAATTACCTGCAAGAAAATGTGCCTGAACAATTGCTTTTATATGAACAGGTTGCTTCTAATTTGGAATGTGATCTGGTTGTAAGAGCACATATTTATTTCACGCGTTTTCTTGCCCGGTGTTTGGAAGTTTGGGGTGCTGGACAAAGCATAGATTCTGCAATGAGTGGCAGTCATATTTGGGTCCCAGCCTTGCCGCTTTCTAGCTGTGTGAGCCGAGACCAATTTCTGAGCCTTAGTTTCCTCCTTGGCGAAATGAGACAAATGCCGTCTACACCCAAGGACAAGCACTGAGCCGCGGAGGAGCTCACGTTTGCCAAGGGCCTGCCTCGCACGACACCTAAGACAAATTCAGTGCTCCCCACTTGTCTTCTCATATCCTATTTTTAAAAATATTTTTAAGTTTATTTTTTATTTATTTTGAGAGAGAGCGAGAGAGAGAGAGAGAGCACACGGGAGGGGCAGAGAGAGAAGGAGAGAGAGAGGATCCCAGGCAGGTCTGGCACTGGCAGGGCAGAGCCCGATGAGGGGCTCGAACCCACGAACCATGAGCTCATGCCCTGAGCTCAAGAATCTGACGCTTAACCGACTGAGCCACCCAGGCGCCCCTCTTCTCGTATCCTGTTTGGGACACAGATGTGTAAAAATAAATACACACACGATGCAGCAATACAAAACCCGATGTTTATTTATCCCGCCGTTGACGGAAGCCTGTTTACACTCTGGTGGAATCGTCATGTTCCTCCACTGACGCGTCTTGTGCGGAGCCCTCAGCGCCCCGAAGCGGACTGTCACCCCGCAGACAGCACAGGCGGCAGAGGTGTCTTCGGAACGTGGTGTCGAGGACCGCGTGGAGCACGGGGTTGACGCAGCAGTGGGTGGCGGCGACGATCCTCACGATCTGAACGCTTCTGTCCAGGTGGTAGCTGCTCTGACAGTCGTGCAGGGAGAAACGTTCTCTGAACGCGGACAGGAAAAGTGCGATATTGTAGGGGCCCCACATCAGAAGGAAAACAACCACTACGGCAAACACGAGCTTGTGAGGGTCATACCTCCTCCCCCTAAAGCTCAGCGTTTTTCGCAAACGCGTGTAGCAAAACGTGAGAACGCACAGTGGGAAAAGAAGGCCCAGGATGTTCATCTTCAGGGTCAGAAAATGCTTCCAGAAAGTCTCCTCAGCTGGCAGGAAGGGAGGGCTGCTAACAAAGCACTCGTATTTCTGGCTCTCCGGCTGAGGTGTGTAAAACACGGATTCAGGCAAAACGACCAGCGTGGCCAGGCCCCACGACAGAACGGTCGAGGCGATGTTCCAGCGCACCGTCCTGGTCGGGGGAAACCTTCTCATGTTGCAAGACACCAGGTACCTTTGCACGGTCAGAAGGACGTTGAAAAAAGCCTCACTGTACAGGCCTATGGAGGAAAACACGACGAGAGTTTTACACACGGGGCTGCCCAGAACGCCCCCATGGGACGCGGTGTAGGCCCAGAGAGGCAAGGAGAACAAGAAACATAAATTCGAAACTGCTAGGTTTAGGAAATAGACATTTTCCGTGCGCCTGAGTCCTTTGTGCTTCGCCAGGATGAGCACAGTCAAGACATTGCCCAGCAGTCCAGCCAGGAGCACAGGGATGAAGACCTTGGGGACCACCCGGCTCAAGAGAACCTTGGCGTCGTATGGGTGGCACGTTTCTATTTCGTCGTCATTCAGGTCCCCCTCTATGAGGACGTCATAGTTATCCTCCGGGGCCAACGTGTAATTGGCCATCGTCAGCCTGCCCTGTGGAGAAGTGAAGGGTTATCTTCCCTTCATACAGCTGGGTGGTCCTGCAGGGGGAAAAAAAAAAATTGGATTAGCATCCACGCAGCCATGCTTACCCTCTCCTGGTGCTTCCTTGTACCCACGGTAGGTCTACATCTCAGGAGACTGAAACCGGTGCTGACACCCCGGGGGAATAAAAGGAAGCCTTCCACGGCTTCAGAGAACTTCAGCTCTCCTGGTGGAAACAAGACTTGCCTGTCTGAAGACACCATCTGAGAAAACAGAGCTCTGAAGAGAGCCGAGAACTGTGGTCTAGTTGCCTCGAAGTCGGTCCCGGTCCTAATTTCTACGTGTGCAAAAAGCCTGCTCACCCTGTGAAGGAGCTTCCTGTGACCGGCTGGGCTGATGACTGAGTCCTTCTCTCCAAGGAGAGAAACAAAGGTTTGCAAAAGTGAAACCATCCCCAAGCACCAACAGGAACGTCACTGGATGACTTACCACTTGACCGAGTTCCAGGGGGGCAGGGCACAGCCTCTTGACCCACCATCCGAGCTGCTGTGGGAATGGCCTGGGGGCAGCTGGGAGACCGGCTTTCTTCTGAGCAGACGGTCCTGACCTTGAGGGGCAAGAGAAGCCACTTTTAGCCCTTGGTAGGTCTACGTCTACACCACAAGTGCCCGGTCTCGGGGAGTAACCCAAATAAAGCAGCTCCAAAGCTCCTCCAGACCCCTAGAGTGTTTCTCAAGCCTTTGAGCCAAACCAGGAAGTTGTTTTCTCCTCCCGGTTCCCCCCTCCCCCCGACCCCGCCTTTGATTTCCCTGTGGCCTTTAGACAGGCGTCCGGCTGGCTGCCCTAGATAAGGGAACTGAGTTGTCACTGCTCCCCAGTGATACTAGGTGGGGTGGCAGGAGGGCTCTCCTGAGCAGGTAACAGCCAGCAGCCGAGGAGAAAGGGTCCTGTGGTAGCTCTATGTCCGGACCCCAGGGCCCGGCGCTCCCCTGCAGCGGCTCATCCACAGCAGCAGAAACCACCGGGCATCTAGAACGCTCGGGGAGAACCACAGTGAGTGGCATGTGCTTGGATTCTCCTTGTCATTGTTGAGAGACACTGAGCTGTGGCTGAGGGAGGAGGGGGTCCCGAGAGAGAACTTGGGGGACAAAGGAAGCCACGGAGGGGTGTCACTTGGGACAGGGAAGGGCGTTTCTGCCGAGATGCTCAGTACCAGTCAGTGTGGGGCCGCTGTGGGATTTGAGGAAAACTGACAATGGGGAAAACCCGGAGTTAGGCAAGCCGTGAGGTGCTGACCCTGCTCTGAGAAGATGCCAGGAAATTCCACGGAAGCAATGCCAAGTCTGGGCTACAGAGGCGGCGAGGGGACGTGCTACCCCCTGACTGAGGCAGGGGTGGGGTGAGAGGTCTGAGGCCAGAGAGGAAAGAGGCCGGGAAGATTCCAGATTTGGGAGAGTGGGAGGAATTAGCGGGCGGGGGGCTGCATGGGGGTGGCTTGGAAGAAAGGTGGTTGGAGAGGAGGAACGTGAACCAGCTGGAAAGTCTGTATGAACTTCCTCCGGATCAAGTCCCTGTACCTGTGATTGACCTAATTTGGGGACCAGACGTACACCGTGGTTTAGCATTCACAGAGTTGGTTAAATGACATCCTGTCAACGAATGCCAGAAACGTGTCCGAGGTGAGCATTCACTGCAGAGCGTGGACCTGCGGAGATGGAAATAGAAATGAGCACGCTATTAAAAGAAAAGGAAAACATAGATAAAAGAGCTCAGACGAACATGTGGTCAAGCGTTAAATTTGCCTCGAAGATGATGTTCCTCTGCATGGAGGGGTTTGGTGTCATGGGGAACCCTGGCTGTGAGCACTTCCCAAGAAAGGCTTGCCCCACTCACTCCCCCCCCATCTCCCAGGCTTCTGTGAGTGAGTGGGAGTTACCCATCCCCAGAAGCCTTGCCCCCTGGGCACAGCTCTGGGACCAACAGACATGCCTGGGCTATTTGGAGCCACACCAGCCCTACGACCCCAGGACCTTGGTGCCTTACTGTCTGATGCTCACTGATCCATCCGGGGTGAGGCAGCGAGTAGTCAAGTCAACTCTGAAACCTAAAAAAGCCCCGTGGATGCACACACACACACACACACACACTACATGATTATTTAATGATTATTTCCTCTATTTAAAGGAAAACAGAATTACTTGAAATTTGAATTTCCCCAGGAAAAACACTAGAAATTCAGGCTCACCCTAACTTCCTGATATTAGTACGGGCTTCACTTTCAGTATTATTTTATTTTGGCTTGACTCCCAACATTCCGCTTATTCACACTCAGGCCAGGGAGCTCTTCCTTTAATTTTATTTTTTGTTTTGTTTTGTTTAATTGAGATATAGTCGACATATACCATTGTGGAAGTTGAGAGTGTACAGCGTATTGATTTGCTACGTTTATATTGCAAAAGGATTGCCGTTGCAAGGTTAGCCAACACCTCTGTTGCCATCACGCGACCATCATCTCTTCCACTAGGAGTGGGAACAATTCAGATCTACTCTGCCAGCAGGTTCGAGGTTTATTATACAATTTTGTCGCCTCTAATCACTGTACTGTGTGTTAGATCTCCAAGGCCATGGGATTCCAGAAACTTCTATATTGGTAGGAAGGAATGGTTTGGAGGTCTGAAGCGGAGGCAAGAGGAGAGTTTTGTTACCATTCCACTGGCTGGAACCATAATAGGGTCTCTTCACTATTTGTGGAACCTCACCACATTCTGTGGCTTTGGCATGTGGCTCACAAACCTTACTTGAGTTCTTTATCACTGTCGTTTAACCCCGATTTCAGTCTAAGAGAGTTAAGAAACTAGAACTCTTGTTTTCCTATACACACAGATCACTCATCTATTCAATTCGCCTTTTCCGCAAATATGTATATGGAGTGCCTGGCGTGTGCCCAGCGCCATCCTGGGTGAACGAGGTGAACATCAATGAACGAGGCAGGCGAACATCCTGAACTTCACGGAGCTTACGTGCTACAGACAAAAGCAGAATACGGTAAATTGTAGGGTAGTGGCAGAGACGTGCTATAGGGAAAAAGCAGGAAAGAGGGTAGGAAGGGCCAGGGGGGTGCAAGAGTTCACATTTCACATAGGATGGTTCAGAGAAAGCTTGGCAACAGGTGTGCACAGGAGCGGCACACGATGGGGCCCGATAACTAATGCTCGCGATCTCATTTTTTCCTCGTTACTAAGGGACGTCGGAAAGCACACGATTCAGTGGGTTGCAGTCATACCATCTCGCATCTCAGCTCCGAATCTCAGCCTTGGGAGGGAAGGCACCTTCCAAGGGTGTTCCTTCTGGGAACTAAACTGAACTACAAAATGTAAGCAAGTTTCTTTACCACAGGACTTCTCAGAACTCTTAAGACGCTAATAAGTATAGCGATCCTCCCTGAGGAAGAGAGGGTCTGCAGTGTTTCCCAAAGTGGTTTGATCGCGGAACCCCCTTTGATGTTCGCAAACAGGTCCTTCCGGGCCAACGGTTCTGTAGAACACAATTTGAGAAGTGTTGCCTTTGACATACACTACTGTGTCGTGGGGCGGCCATGGGGACGGGCCTCCGCCACTCTGAAGGGAGTGTAACGGAGGGTCCCTGCTGCCTCACCCTGAAACACATCCTCGCACGCCCTCCAAAGGCCATGCTTACCAGGGGCTGCTCCGGCCAGTGACCCTTTTAGGGACAGCGGAGCAGGCCCAGTCCTGGGAGGTCGGCTCCTCTGACGGTGACTTTGGCTGGTGCTTCCCGTCACCCCCAAGCCTTGACCCTCCTTCTCTCCTTTACTTGGGGCTCAGATCTGCTTTGTGATCTGGGGCTTTCCCAGCTCCTTCCAGCTCCCTATGATCTCTCAGAGACATTTCCTCTAATGCATTTCTTCTATGCCACATCTCGAAGGAGCCAAGCTAACACAACCTCAGAAGGGAGGCATCTGTCTCTAGAGGCTTGAGCCCTTGGCTTGCTGGAGAAGAATAACGCTTTGCAACACTTCATCCCTCTCTGACCATCTTGCCCACCGCCATCTACCTGTGGCCTGCCAAGCTCGAGCTCTCTGGAACACATGAGACCGGGGATTGCCATCATGGCCCATCCTGCTCAACTGCTCAGGCCATGTGCCTTCTCTGGTTCTCATCACCACCATCTCCCTCGTGCCCTCTTTGCCTTCAGCTCACTTCTCCGTGCTCCCTTTCCCCCCCACGCTCTTCCTCTGTGCCCTCTGGAATCTGAATTCCGTGAGAGACACTCCTGCTGACCTCCTTAACGTATCCCAGAATATTCCTAACGTTTCTCATCCCTTGGTGGTACCCCTTCCCTCTCACACCTATCTTGGGGGTCAGCAGGTGACATCCCTGGCCCCGGTGCAACTTGCCGACCCTTGTTCCCAGGTATGCTTCCGGTCCCCAGTCCTGTAACTGTATCACCCTCTGCTCCACTGCATCCCTGCCACCGCCTGCCTGCCTGCTCCCTCCCACCCCCCACTTTTTAAAAATTAAAGCCACGGATAATGAACTTCGGTCCATCCCAATTTCCTCCATGTCCCTGGCGACTTAACCACCTGTGTTGACCCTCGTCCTGTACCAGCTCGTAACTTCCATTAACTCACGAATTTGACTTCCCTGAGGTCCGTTGACGCTGATTCACCACCGAAGCCTTGCGGTACACTTGCTCACTTTCCTGATTACAGCTTCCACTGCTTTGACCACCACCACCCCCACCCGCCGTTTACTTTCTGCTCCTGCCCGTGCTCCTTCCTCGAGCCCCCCAGCCTCTGCCCGCGAGCCCCTCGGGTGGTCACATCCCTCCTGTCTCGCTGGGATCCAAGTCTATCACTTAGCCACTCTCTCTGGTCAATACCTGGCCCTCCCTTGAAGCCCCGGCCTTAGATCGACCCTCCCCACCTGCTTCTCCTTTTCACTCCTTCTCTGAGTATGTGAGTCTGAGGATAGCTGGTTGAAACCACCTAAGCCACAAAGAGAAGACCTATCACTAATTTGTGGTCTCCCATCTCAGCTAGCTTCTAGAAATTCCTCTCGTCTCCCTAGTCACTCTTCTGAGTGTCCCAAATTGTCCCCTTCTCCTATTTTCCATCAGCTGTTCCAAGCACCCGAAACCTCTTCCAGTGCCTTCGAACTCCCACCGCCACTGTCCACACTTACGCTCAGGAGGCGACCCCATCTCGGCTTTTGTCCACCCCCTGGGCTCTGGCTTCAAATGCATGCTGGCATCTCCATTCTTCCCTCCTCCATAGATAGAGCTGTTCCTCTGATAGTAAAGGTTCATTTCTCCTCCTGCACTCTGATCGCCAGCAGCCAGAATCTATTAGATTCTTCACGATATTGAAATGCTCTGGTGTCTCCCTTAAAGGTTTTTTTTTTTTTAATGTTTATTTATTTTTGAGACACAGAGAGAGACAGAGCATGAGCGGGGGAGGGGCAGGGAGAGAGAGAAAGACACAGAACCCGAAGAGGCTCCGGGCTCTGAGCTGTCAGCCCAGAGCCCGACGCGGGCCTCGAACTCACGGACCGTGAGATCACGACCTGAGCCGAAGTCGGACGCTTAACCGACCGAGCCACCCAGGCGCCCCTGGTGTCTCCCTTAAATAAAGACTGTAAACCCATCTCTCCCAATGTTTACAACAGCGCTGTCAACAATAGCCAAATTATGGAAAGAGGCTCAATAGCCATCGGCTGATGAGTGGATAAAGAAGATGTGGTTTATATCTACAATGGGATACTACTTGGCAATGAGAAAAATGAAATCCTGCCATTTGCAGCAATGTGGATGTTACTGGAGGGCGTTATGCTGAGTGAACTAAGTCAGTCAGAGAAAGACAGGTACCATGTTTTCACTCATACGTGGATCTTGAGGAACTTAACAGAAGACCATGGGGGGAGGGAAGGGAAAAAAAATAGTTACAATCAGAGAAGGAGGGAGGCAAACCAGAAGAGACTTTTGAATACAGAGAACAAACTGAGGGTTGACGGGGAGGGAGGGGTAACTGGGTGATGGGCATCGAGGCGGGCACCTGTTGGGATGAGCACTGGGTATTGTATGGCAGCGATGAATCATGGGAATCTGCCCCCAAAACCAAGAGCGCACTGTATATACTGTAGGTTAGCCAACTTGATAATAAATTATATTAAAAAACAAAAATTTAAAATAGAAACAAAATAAACCCATCCTTAACCCCACAGTCCGCTCTAACGACATACCCTCCCTCTTCTTGGGGAGCCTTCATTCGTCGTCCAAACCCGCTCTTCCTACATTATCATCGTTCACTCCCCACTCAGTCCCCTCCAGCCTGGCGTCTGTCTCCACCATTCCCCTGAGATCGGCCTCCCCAGGGTCACCAACAGCCTCCCGTGGAGAAATGCCATCCACTGCTCTGTGAAGCTGGGGCAGCTGACGCATCGCGTGCCGGTGAGTGGGAGGTGTCCACTCTCCCCCTACTCGCGATACGGTGGACAACACGTAGGCACCATTACCTCCTGGGCTGCCCCAGCTGAAGCCACGCTTGGAGTTTCTGAAACCCTCATGCAATCTAAAAAGACATCCGCACAGGCCTTTCCAGTAAAGGTGGCGGAGGGAAGCAGGGTCACGGCCTCTCCCCCCATCGGTACCTTATAAAATGACCACGCGACAGCCTCACCAGCAAAAATTCTCAAAATCTGCCTGTAGCAACCGAACACGAAATAGGGTACAACCTTGTTTCAAAACTTTGAACGGTGGGCATTACAGTTATGCCTAAACCTAATCCTAATACAGGCGCAGCATTGAAGAAAGAGGGAAAATCAGTGAATCCTGAGAGTTATCCTAATCCTAACACTCTCCCGTTGGGAGACAAGTGGGTAGAAGGGGAGTGTGTATCCCTAGGAAAAGACAGGAAAAACACCTACTGAGTAAAAGCCCGCCTGTTCCAGAAGGATTTCTTGGGCTTCTCACATTCTGGGGCAGTGTGTTGAGTGAGGGCCAGAGGACACATTGCACAAGAGTCACATACACCCTTGTACACACTGAGTGGCTCCTCGTAATGATATTCTGGTTGGTTTTTGTTTTTAGGATCTGGATTCCTTATAAAAACGTTTTTGGTGGGGGGCTCCTGGGAAGCTGGGTCGGTTGAGCATTTGACTCTTGGTTTTGGCTTGGGCCACGATCACATGGTTTCTGGGGTTTGAGCCCCACGTCGAGCTCTGCGTTGGCAGCATGGAGCCTGCTTGGGATTCCTTCTCCCTCTGTCTCGGCCCCCTCCCCACTCACGCTGTCTCTGTCTCTCACTTAGGGGGAAAAAAAGGTTTAAAAATACTTAAAAACATTTTTTAATGTTTATTTATTTTCGAGAGACAGAGAGAGACAGAGCATGAGTAGGGAAGGGGCAGAGAGAGAAAGACAGAAGGAGACACAGAATCTGAGGCCGGCTCCAGGCTCCGAGCTGTCAGCACAGAGCCCGATGCGGGGCTCGAACTCATGAACCGTGGGATCGTGACCTGAGCCAAAGCTGGATGTTCAACCAACGGAGCCACCCAGGCCCCCCTATAAAAATACCTTTAATCTACGAATGACTTATTGAAGACTTTCAGGGTTCTAATGCGAGGGGCCGTTAGGCCTGCCCACTCGTGGTGACTCATCTTCTCGCGTGTTTTGTAGTGCCCGTGTGAGTTCCTATTTATTGGGGGTTTCCTGGCCCCGCAGCAACGGTCTGTGGCCCTGCAGTGGGAACAGTCCCCTCTGGAGCACTGTTGCCTTTGTTTCTTCTGGGAGCACGAGGGGGCATCTGTGGCCTGAGCTGAATCTTAGTTTGGGGGTCTCCCATTTTGAGGGTATTACAAAATTGAACTTCGTGTTTGCATGAGACACAGGTTTTGGGGTCTCAGAGATGGTCCCTCTACCATTTCGAGTGCAGGCAAAACCAGACGAGCCTCCTTATTGTCCCCGCCTGTGGGCGCATTTCCTCCAGCCCTCTCCTCCCCGGCTGCTAGCTTTCTGTGGGGACCTCTCGGCACCGGGTCCCCGTTACTCGTGGCCTGAGGCCTTGCTGTCTGCTCCCGTGTCAGAGTGAACGCTCCGTGGCCTTTTATCAATGCGTGTGCCTTTTGTTTACATCAGACAGTGATCAAAATACTAAATACCCATGGAGTGAAGGCGCAGTGAGTTATTTGTTGAGAAGTGTTATTTGTTCAGTTCACAGACATTTCACGTCTGCTGTCTGGGAAATCGCTCCCCTTTGCCCTTCTGTATGGACTCTCCACCGCCTTCCGACCCGCTTTGGGTCCTGGAGGCTCATCTCCTTAACAGCAGGCTCCTGCTGGTGTGTCCCTTGACCTTGACCTAATGCAGCTCTTGTTACAGAGAGCCCCTCCCCGATCCTTGACTCCTTGATCTTAGCGGTGGGGATGGCGGCCTCTGCGTAGTCCCTGGGCAGGACTCTTTGTCCTCTGCCTTCCCGACATCGATGTCCTAACGGGAGCCGGTCAGGTGCATAAGTGATAATAATCCGGGGAGTCTCGTGCTGTCCCGGGGGAAGCACACGGGAGCTGGGGAGCCGTCAGCAAGGGTGCCTGGCCCGGTCCAGAGGGACCGGGGAAGGTGTCCGGCTGGAGGGGCCATCTAAGCAGAAAGCCTGGGTGGGAGTTAGCCAGGTGGGGTGGCCATGGCCTCTCCTTGCCTCCCTTCTCCTCCTAACGTCTTCTTCAGTCCCAACCTCAGAGATGGGGCAAGGGGGACACATTTTCCTACTTATCGGCATCTGGGGCTGAGCTTCTGTGGAAGAGGAAGTTGAAACCAGGAACCAGACCATTTTAGATGCATTTTTTAAGAAGTTTATTTATTTATTTTGAGAGAGAGCGAGCGAAAGTGAGTGAGCACACAGGTAGGGGAGGAACAGAGAGAGAGGGAAAGAGAGAATCCCAGGCAGGCTCTACACTGTCAGCACAGAGCCCCGATGTGGGGCTCGAACTCACGAACCGTGAGATCATGACCTGAGCTGAAATCGGGAGTCAGGCTCTTCATTGACTGAGCCACCCAGACGCCACCTCCCTTTTTAAAAAAAATGCATTAAAAATTTTTTGCTTATTGGGGCGCCTGGGTGGCGCAGTCGGTTAAGCGTCCGACTTCAGCCAGGTCACGATCTCGCGGTCCGTGGGTTCGAGCCCCGCGTCGGGCTCTGGGCTGATGGCTCAGAGCCTGGAGCCTGTTTCCGATTCTGTGTCTCCCTCTCTCTCTGCCCCTCCCCCGTTCATGCTCTGTCTCTCTCTGTCCCAAAAATAAATAAAAAACGTTGAAAAAAAATTAAAAAAAAATAAAAAATAAAAAATAAAATTTTTTTTGCTTATTTATTTTGAGAGAGAGAGACAGAGAGTGCAAGTGGGGGAGGAACAGAGACAGACTATTTTAGATCTAATTCCCGGGAGTCCAGAGCTCAGCGGGACAGCTGCAGGGAGAGAGGCCTTGTTGGGGAGGGCTTCCAGGAGGCATCCCTGTCAGGGAGTAGGCGAGGCAGGACCGGACACAGGGGGAAGCGGACCCCGAAGTCCCAGCTGACCCTGCGAGGGGCTCTGGGCCTGGGATGTCCCTGCAGTGCTGTCCCACGAGGAAGGAAGGAGGCCGGGCCTTCCCAATCACACACCAGACAGCTGCTGGCCTCAGTTGTCTCCGGGAGGGGAAGGTCCCAGTGGCTGAAGGTGGTCCCTGTCCCCAGCAGCTGGGAGGGTGAGTGCACTGACCCTGAAAAGGGACATCCGGGCAGAGCCCCACGGCACCCACTGCAGGGGCGGGGTGGGCAGGCCCTGGGTTTCCCACAGATTTCATTTATCCTGCATAACAAGAACCAGAAACTAAGATTTCTGAAACCTCCGTGTCATAAGACCACAAGGCCCCTGTGTGCACAGGAGGGGGAGTCACGTGCCCCGCGAGGGCACAGGGCCCACTCACTCTGCGTGACCATCCTGGTGCAACTCACCCGTTGTTGTCTGAGAGTGAAGAGTCGAAGAGGAACTTGACCTCGCCATCCCCTGCCCCTGGCCCCATCCTCCACCTTTTTCTTTCCTCTTTCTTCTTCCCCACCTACGTGGCCACACTCCTGTTTCCATAGGGTCAGGCGGGTTGGACAGTCGCTCGTCTGAGAGCAGCCATATTTAAAATAGATTTTTAAAAATCTCTTTTTGTGAATAGAAGCAAAAGGTAAGAAACCAAGTGGCATTCTCCTTTTATTTTATTTTTTAATATTTTATTTATTTTTGGGAGGGAGTGCAAGCGAGGGAAGGGCAGAGAGGGGGGGGGCGGAGACAGAGGATCTGAAGCGTGCTCCACGCTGATGGCAGAGACCCTGATGCGAGGCTCGAACTCAAGAACCGTGAGATCATGACCTGAGCTGAAGCTGGATGCTTAACCGACTGAGCCCCCCGGCGCCCCCCCCCTTTTAACAAAATTAAATCGT